ATTTCATTTTCTTCCATATAAAGGAAAAATTCCCCTGGTATACGCTGTCCTGCAAAAATGAGTAGTTCTCTCATGTCACATAATACGTAATATACTGTTATTTCTCTTTAAAAGGATCTCCCCCCAACTGTTGCGGTTTCGGGAAGATTTGTGATACCGCTTTCCAATCCGTCTTCCACAAAACCTCAATTCTGCCATGATCAACGTTCTACTATTTCATTCCCACCGAACAAATAATGGAGTGAGGCAGTAAATTATTTTGCCACATACTTATTTCGAGTACTACTTGGATTTACATTCCCGTACTATGTTTGTATCTTGACTCGGAGGAAATAGCCAATTTGCCGAGAAACGTAGGATGGAGGGGCTTATATAAACAATTTTTTAGTAGGAAAACTGGGAGATGAGCGGCGGCGACTCTTCTTCTTGCGCCAAGAATCTCGGCGAGTTGATGTCTTTTCTCGAATATTATGTATTACGTTATGCTTGTCTTTCTCTCTCTCTCGGGTTCTGTGGTTTCATCTTCTTCATGAAAAAGGATCCGTGTTAGGCTCAATTTACAAATGACACTAAATTATCTTTCTGACAAGTCAACCACTTCTGCTGCTGCTGCCGCTTCTCTCCAAGCCCGACTGGCATTGGTTTCATAAATTATGTGGACAAATTGCCTTATTCTCTAATATTTTTGCGGGGATATATGTCAAGCAGCAAATTGAAAGTTGATGTAGACTTCCAGGGAAAGAATTCTCTTACATAATTACAGGTTTCTGATTTCCAATGGTCAACTCAACCTTATCCCAGGACAAACTGTCACCCTGATGACTCGACTAGGAGAAAAATACCAATATGTCTACGTCAAATTTTTAGTAGATGCATGCATAATAATATTTTCTGCGGTTTACCGAGAGAGAGAGAGAGAAAAAAATCATTATTTCCCAGGCAGTCCATTCTGCTTCTGCCAACCAGCAGCCGGTTTGTTCCTCCGCATGATGGTCAAGACTGGAAAGAGAAAGCAATTTGTAAGTAAATGGGAAAGGGTGAGCATGGAATTTAGAGTGGCCGATTTTAGGGTATAATATAATATCCGAAAAATTGGGGCTGGACGTGCCTCGTGATTTATGAAGATGGTCTAATCCATCCAGCATTCAAATTTTCTTCACTTTCTTCCCTCGTCGTCCTGTCTGGTTTTTGGCTGGGAAAAAGTGCAAAGTCAAAAAACGACACGACATGCCAATATTTCACCAGTTTGTGTTACCCTGCCAGCCGTACATACAAATACATACGTAGTCACGCTTGTTATGCATGTGAACTCATCACTTGGGAGAAAGCAACAACGTAAAAATGCACGTAAAATACTCTAGTGAATTCAGCAACCCTTTTACTTTCTGTCCTGAGGGCTTTGTTGAGACAACTACAGTTAAACTTTGGACATTTGGGATACAAATGAAAATGGATTGTCTTTTTTTCTGTTTGGCAAGACGACTACGACGACATGTCCACCAAGTAAATAGGGGGATATGGATCATCCAGTTCAGCCAAGGGCCTTGCTGCTGTGGTCCAGTTCCCAGTCTGGTAAACTCGACTTAGTTTGCAATCAGCCCAAACTCGGACCTGAATACAAATGAGGGACCAGGCGAAATTGTAAAACTCTGGAAGAGTGACATTTCCAAATTTTGTGGTGAGAATTTGAAATTCAAAGTCTGAATTGAAAATTTGTGCAAGTTTTCAAAATTCGAATTCAGAGGAGGAATAGAGAGAGTATTAAAGTTGGAATTAATTGCGAAATCATAACAATATTATACGTTGTACTGAATAGTTTCAATTTCCAAGAACTACAACACAGCCAAAGCAGTTAACAAATTTTAATAGGACACATTTTCCACATACTTGATGATATCACTACCCATGCACATAACCATTTCCTCTGCTCTGCTCAGCAGCCACGCCAATAAATTTGGGATTATGATTACGATAACTTTCTCGTATCACTAAAACACCAAAGCACAATCAATAATTATCATTCTGCTCATGTAAACTTGGTTGATTCTGCACACCGTTTACTGCCCGAAAGAGCCAGGAAACTAATGTGTAGGAAAGACGGGAGACAGATTTATGGCGAGCTAGATCATAAAGTATTTTAAGATCTCGAGCATACATAACTGCGATCAGTGTGTAGGTACTAACAGCCTGCCGAATATGCAACACAAGGAATCCGTGGCGGCGTACGTATCCAGAAAGGACCATTAAATGCTCCCAAATTCATGAGATTGTAATAAAATTGGGCGTAAGGTAAGCCTTAGTGAGTCCATTATTAGCACGAACAAGGAATTTGATTGAGACTTGGTATTCACCCATCATCCAAATCCCTAAATCCATGTGGCCGTGGGACTTGGCAACGACTCGTTTATGGGATATCTTATAGGACGATGGATAGATGAGACGAGCAGCAGAAAATCGTGTATGTAAGTCGATGCCACGTTTAGCATAATCTTGCCCATGCGGATTTCGTGAAGACAGCGACATGATCTGACTTCACTTTACGAGTTAATTCCCCCACTTTTTACCTAAACGGGAGATGTAGAAGGTACAATTGAAGTGAAGACGGAATGAACATACAAATTCGTTCTCATCAGCTAAACGAATAAGATCTCTAGATTTCTAATCGCAGTACGTAAATAAATTACAAATTTTGAACTTATTCTAGTCGTACTCACTCATTTAAAAAATGCCAAAATACTCATTTAACGACATGAAATACTAGGACTATTAAAACCTCTGCATTATTTTCGCTTCTGTTGGTTGTTGGTCACACACGAAGCCACAAAACTTGGCGTCATGGCCGATGTAAGTTCAGTGCATGATGATGACACGAGTGACTTCTTTCACCACCCGACCAACCCGTAGTGCTTTCTCCCCTCACTCAAATCCACTTGGAAAATCCAACTTCCGTCCACTTAAATCCATCTGGACGAGTAGTATATGTCTCGCTTCATTTAACTTAACAACCAACCAAAGCCTGGTTGGAGGATGTTTCCATCCAGAACCATTTGACTCTTCTCGATAGTCCACTGACGAGGACAAACATAGATTATATTCCACAATTTTACACGATTTCCTCCCCCCATAAAAAAACAAGCAAAATCATCAACATAATTTAATACATAGACAAATAAAATTTATAAGCTTTCCGTAAAATTTCGATAAAAATCTCAAAAATGACATGATGCACAAACTCCGCTATATAAACGTGGAAAGAAATTCACCACCACTCCAAGTACTGCTTTCTCCTCAATAATAGCGCGTTTTACGTTACACAGACCATCATTTCCCGGTGCAATCCTTAACCAATAATACTCCAATCCAATATAATATCATCCATCTATCCATCGAAAGAACTCTCTCTCTGACTGAACATCATGCCCGACTGACAAAATTGTGCAAAATTGAGTAAAGACTGGAATTGACAAGAAGCTTAGCCTTTGGAAAGTCACTGGGTTGAAGAATGAATACCAATGGGCGAAGCAAGTAGTGAAAGCATGGAGGCAAAGAATACCACGAGGGAACAATCGGCACTCGGCGCATGAGAATAAAAATGAATTGAGACTTTCACCACCGGTTTGCTTTCACTTATTCAACCATCCCTTCAACTTTTTCAGCTTGGTTTGACATATTGATAAAAAAAAGTTTGTATTTTTATTATATTTCGAGTATTGTGTTGTGACTTAAAAATTTCAGATAAAATTTTTTCCATGAACAAACTCAAAGAAATCTGATGAAATATTGTTTGCTTGTACCTACATACTTGAAAAACGGTAAAATGAAACTGTGTACGTATTACTTTTACGTCGTTATTAAATAAATATTGTGTTAGTCTAACCTCAAAGAAGTTTGTTCTTGTTACCCTTTGAGATTTTGGAGATCAAAGCTAAATGCCAAGTAATAATCGATGACTTATCGAAGAAAATCGAAGGAAGATGGAATGTGGTGGTTCAAATCTAAACAAGACACAAACTAGATTTTTTTTCCTTTTATACTTTCTGAGATCTGAGAGATATTGATTGTTGGGTGGGATAAAAGGGAAGGGATGATAAAAGTCAAACTGTGAGATAGGTAACATCTTATCGTCATCTTTTGATAACCTTTCTATTTATATACACCTGTATTTATAAACTTGTTAATAAATAAAAAAAGTGGTCGAGATTTCTGTTAAAGTCATTACTTAATATTTGACCTTTTGACCTACAAAATCCAAGCTACATGATTATTATTGCTATGCGGTAAGGTAACAAATTGTCAATCGAAGGGTATCGAACGCATCGTCTCACGCATCGTCGTGTCCTTTCTTGAATTCGGTTTGAGAGTGAAAGTGAAGCAATTTGCAGTAAAACGGAATCGGACATTTGTCACTCAGAAAGAACAAGATCGACCATTTGCAATCGACCATCACGAAATGGACGGGACACAATAATGTAAAATCGGGTTCGCGTCGTTTGAAGACAAGGATCTCCCATTATTATTTTCGGTACGAAACAATATATAAAAAGAGATATTCTGGACACTACATTTTCTGACAGCTCTCTTTTATTCCTGCGAAACGAGGTGATCCCTATCCAATTCAGTTTTACATGCTTGCATGATCATATTCTCCTCCAGTGGCCGCGGAATGGACAATGTCCCACGGTCGTTTGATGTCCCATCATTTGCCCATGTTATACAAACCCCTCCCTCCCCAACAATGTTAATGTCCCCAAATGTCCCCACAGCTTCCGCGGCCACTGTATTCTCCTCTCATCTGCATTGCATACCCATTTTATGTAGAACTGGACACTACAAATGTGTTACTGCATTTATCTTGTTTCTCGAGTGAATACATTTTCTGAGAGGAATGGACCGATCAATGTGAATGCCCTTTACATAACTTTCAACTTTTTATGGCCTGTGCAAGTAAACGGATGATGATGGATTCAAACTTACAGGCTATAAGAAATGGACAACAAGTATTGATTAAACGTGTCTAAACTGTAAAGTTTATCCAAAATACGAAACAAGCGCAAACATTCGAATTAAAAGACCGGATAGATTATGAAACTAAATTAAAATGTAGTCTCGTATGTAATAGTTGATTAATAATAGCTGAATAATAATATATATGTAATAACCTTAACACTGCTATTACAAATGATAGATCAAGGACATAATGAGTAATTAGTTGATAAATTACATGTATGGGAAGATAATTAATAATGTTGAGTAACATATATGTCTGTTGTTCAGAGCACAATTGACTACAGCTAACATAGTTTAAGATAACTTGATTACGTTAAGTACGATTTTTTTTGTCTAGCTAATTAATACTAACTAATTCATTACGAGTCAACCGGTTACATTAACAAATTTCAAAGATTTAAAAATACTACGTATATATTGGAAAACTCAAATCATGCTTACAAAGGAAACCTTCAATAATTTATTATTTAATCCATGTCCTCCAAGTTTAGGCGTCGTACTTGGGTCACTGGTTCGTACACTCTTGGCGGCTCAAACTCCACATTATCATCATCATCCGAAGAATCGCTTGATCGACGACGATCCCACGCACGACCACGGCCACGCCCAACAGGACGTCGTCCAATCGTGGGCTGCACATCAGCCGCATTAGGGTCCAAATTAATTCGAAGGACTGGTGAATCCCAACCCCTTGAGCCCTTGAAGGCACTTGGTCCCATGTTGTCTAAATTGATACGAAGGACACGATCGGGTTCTTCTATTTTCTTCTCGTCTAGTTTAGGCTTTGAGTTAGTTGAAGGCCAATCGAATGGATTGCGAGTTTTCAAAATAGCACCTTCTGGTTTCCACAATTTCATCGTATTGGTGTCAAGCTTGGGTTGGTAGTAGACAGCTTTATCCTTGTCGTCGTCATTACACAAATTGGAAATGGAAATGTTTCGTCGAGGAGCCGTTGTCGTAGGTTTGTCATTTTGTTCCTGAGTTTTATGGTTTTGTAGACGGCAAGGAACGGGAACGGGACGATGCAGCTCCATCGAAATTTCATAATCTTCATCCGAAGAAGAAGAACGGGAAGAAGATTGTCCAGTGACACGACTGCCAAAGTGATTTTGCATTTCTGAGGGCATGTTGCAAATTAATTGTGGAAGCGATGAGAATGTATGAGGAGGCGATTCAAGGTCTGGAGGATAAGCTTTTGGAAGGGCTACCGGGACGACAGGGATATGAACTTTTGGAGGGGACAAGAATGCAGCACTAGGTTGAAGTTTCAGACGGGGTGCAACTTGGGGTACTGGTTGAACTTTAGGAGGAAGCGTGACTGGCTGAATTTTCGAAGAGGGGACGTCTAGCAAAGTTTCTTCAGCGGGCACTTCAGGAGTCTTTTCTTCAGGAGTTGGTAGTTGGAACTTAAATTTTGGTCTGCTGCTTGACGGCGTATATGGTTTTGGTGCTGGTTGAATAATAGGTCTGGTGAAAACCGGAGGTTTATTTGTTTGAACAGGAGCTCTGGTCTGACTTTGCAATGAAGATTGCATATTAGGCTTGGAGGAGGAGATAGTGGGCAAAGCCGTCATCAAAGGCTTTGGTTTTGCAACAGCATCGTCACATTTACTAACAGCAAGCTGAGAAAGGGGACGACATAAATTATCCACACAATCGCTTCCACTTCCTTCCGTACCACTCCACTCGGATTCAGGGATTGGTTTCGGTCGAATCCTCGATGTTCCTCCACAGTAGTCGAAAACGTCGTCCAAATCATCCGAATCACCATCGTCATCAAATCCAGATGGCAAAACGTTCGCGTAGCGTCGAAGCATGGTCTCTGAACTCACATCCTTATAGTCGTCCCGTAAAGAGTTTCCATTTCCATTATACGATTTATATGATTGAGGAGGTGCAACCCGGTTGTAACTATTTTTGGAATTCGAACCAAAGGAATTTGAAGACCGAAACCCACCTCCACCACGGCCACCGCCACCAGATTTTCCACGGTATCCCCTGCTCCCCCCACGACCTGGAGCCGGAGTAATCTGTGGTGCCTCAGTTTTGCCAAGAAGATATTTAGCCTAAAAACAATCAAAAATTGCAACTCAACCTAATCTGAAACACTCTCAACTTATCAATTACAATATAATTATATTAAGCAATATAAGTGGCTCACCTCACAACGCGATACTTGGTGCATGGTAGGCGCGTTGGTAGTCCCATCCCTTCGTTTGGGCGTCTTCCCTTTCGCCTGGCCGCGGACAAGGCTAAGGATACCGGACAAACTCTCATTCGCACCATGCACCGCATTGGTATTGAGCTGCAAAACTCAAAACTTTGAATCAATCCAGAAATTACTAAACCATAATTTAACCTTAATTTAATAGATTAGGCAAACTTACAAAAAGAAACAATCTGGTTCGTGGGTTTGATGGATTTTCGCCATAATTATGTCCAACGAAGAACAAATCCCGAATCTCGTACAAAAATTCTCCCCACCTGTCGTACCCCATTTCTTCAATTGGAACTTTTCCAACATTCTCTTCCAGATCGGCTAATTAACAACGAAAGATAAATCTCATTATAAATTCAAACCTGTCCTTATCCAAGCGAAGCACTTACCTTGAAGTTTCCGAGTATCAATTCCAGTCTTGCTAGCAACTAGGACACTGAGAACGTCCTGTTTCCATTGTTTAAACAATCGTTCTTGTTTTTCATTTCGGGGCCTTCTATTAAATACCATCTTATCTCAAAATAGGGAATTTAAACTGCTTGCTTCCAATAAAAAAGGACAAAACTCAATCAAATCAATTAAATCTCATAACTTTGGGCTTTGATAATAATTTTTCAGTTTGTCAAGTCAAAAGAGAAACAACCTGGACAAAAGCTTGAAGTTAACTCGACTAAACTAATCAATCTACCTGCACTGCACCTGCCTACAAAAATTTGTCCAAATTCCAAGAAAAAAGTTCCAGAAAAAGAAACATTCCAAAATTCCACCACTCACGGCGCTCACTGCTACGCATGCCCGATTTTTGATGTGTCATCAGTGATGACACATCACGGACCGTTTATATCTGATTTTTTAATTTAACTACAAAATTGTCAACTATTACTTTTCATGTCCAAAATTTACGCTTAATTTGACTTACGAAATTTACCGAATATATTTATTCTAGAGTAAACCCAAGTTTTTGAAGTCAAGAAATCATGAACGGCCCCTTGCATGTAAATGCAATTGGAGACAAAGGACATGGAAAAATTTACAGCTTTTATGTAAAATCTGGCCCTAAAATGATATACGAGACTACATTTATTATTATTATTATTATTATGTGTACCTTATATATAGACGATCCATTTTGTCATGTCGCCGGCACCAGCTACTAGTTCGTTGGCTTCATTAAAAAGGGATTTTCAATCATTTTTTTGGACCCACACATCATCATCATTCCATCCCACAGTGAGAGAGTCTAGTCAAGCCGATAAGCTGATTCAGAATTGTCAAAGGATTTCTCTCACCCAATTTTATTACTTGGGAAAATATACTAAAGTCATCTCTGTATTCCATAGAGAGATCAGAAGAGTATCGGGTTTGATGGTTGTCCTCTCCTCTCTCTCATATAAACAGAAATAGTGCCTGGTTCCTGGTCCTGCTGGTCTGGATGTCGTGCGACTTTCTCCTCACGAACACATCAACCAACCAAAAGAAGTATACGGACGAAGGCTTTACTTACCATCACGCTTTGGCTTTATTTTTCTCTCTTTTGTGGTTTTATATCCCCGATAGGAAATTAGATTTTGGGCTGGTGAGTGAGTGTGTGAAGTCTTCTGGTGTCCTTCGCCGGACTTGGATGGATGGATGGATGAAGTGCAAACGTGTGACAAAAGGAGGAAGAAAGAAGACCGTGTGATGAAAAGGGCTTTTAGTTTTGTTCGAAGAGATCTTCGTCCTTCAATCTCATGGAGAAAGCTTCACTCTGGTAGGGCAGAAGTTGAAGGGGTTCACTTAAAAATTTTTGGTGAGCATCTCTTAGCTTTTAGCACTGGTGGTGGTCTGGTCTGGTCACATAGGTCATCACACCAGCAGTGTTGTGATGTTCTTTGTGTTGTCTCATTTTGATTCAGTCGTGACATTTACATTATTGTCAGGATGGCTCATATTCAGGAATCAAAGGAGACTATAGCTCATCGTGGTTTGGTTTGTTGGTCAGTAATGATACGGTTTTATGTAATACTGCGGAGAGACTTCTAGTAATGAGATGGGCACAATTATTAATATGAATGAAGAGAGAATACTTAACCATAAAACTTTTGCCGGGACGAGGGACGCAATCCCGTTAATTAACCGCATTGTTCCGTCTCTGCGCTCATTGATTGATACCAGAGAAGACCGGCTCATCTCGAGAATTCTAATTTTATATGATGGTTTATATAGTAGTGACTGAGTGATGATGACGGCATGGCTGGTGCGGGTGCTTCCTCGAGTCTTCTTTTGGAGAGGAAAGGGATGTAGAAAGTTGGAAAACTTTCTCTCCCATATATCGTCTAAATATATAAACCGGCAGCGGATCATCCTCCTCCACATCTGTCCGTTCTCCCCCTCCATTCTTGGTTGTCTGTTGATGCACTTTATTTTTTGGGAGGAGAAGAAGAGCTGATTGTGAAAAGATATGTTTTACGACTCGACGAGGTAAACTAAACCACGAAGCGAGAAAAACAGAAGGTTTTCTTTGGTATAGAGTTTAGCTGCTGCCTTTGATGATCACTATCAAATCAGCATCATCAACCCCATTGTTTAACACATACCACGGAAGAGAGCAGACTGTTTGCATCTTTTCTGTAAGTCAAATGATCTCCCCTCCTTTCTGGAAAGAAGGCTAGAAAGCCATGTGCACAAATAGGTTTAGATTCCTCTGCTCATCATCCACATTTCGTAGTTGGGTCACATCCCGTCTCGCACTTTCTCCACTCATGCATCCTCCTTCTGCATAAAGCCGGCCAAGCCAACCTTTCTCCTCACGGACAACAACCAATGCAATGAGATAACCTAATTTAGTTCCCCCGTCGTAATTTTTGTACATGTGCCACGTTCCAGAGTTTCGTTCGGATGTGTGGTTTGGGTGAAGAGCAATTTCAAATTTTGAATGGGAACGATTGCTGTTGTTACTGCACTTATCTTCAGACGACATGTATGTACACATACAAAAATCACTATTATTTAACTAGTACAACCTACACTCTGTAGTTATTGGTCATCAAGTGTGAGAGAAAGTGGGAACGTAAATATATGTATGTTCAAGTCGATTGGAACACCATTTCGTTCGTACTTTCTTTATTGCCAATTCAACCCACCAACCAACACCACAAATGCCAACTCTTGACTGCTCTTCAACCTTCAATTTCATTCATTCATTCCAAGTCTACAACACAATTGGGCACTTGTTCAATCATTCATTCGCATAATGATTTGAATCCATCTATTCAAATTGGTTCTATTCAGGACAAGTTGTTTTCAATTTCACCACCCGTTTTCAGTAATCATTTTAAAGAAATTGATGGAATGGGGGACTGAATTTTAGAAAATGTTTAGTTTCCTGTCAAAGCACTTTTTTTACGCGTAACTTACTTATTTCTTCCTCCGTCCATTGAATTAATTCGATAACATTTTCTGTCTACCTTTGGCCCCTTAATTTATGCTATCTCTTCCTCAATTGCATTCCACAAGTTATAAGTTGGGAAATTTTTGCCCCAAGGAAATCTTAGCGAGACTCGTATGCATAAATTTATCTGCAACATCAACCTAAACTATACATTATTTTCTGGCAATATACATCGTCTCTGCAATGTCAGGTTTTGGCTGGCGCATAATTTTTGCCCTGTTTCATTACATATTTAGGCAAGAGACACAGCACAGCAGTAGTGATGATGATGATGATAACTCTTTATGCTAATAGCAAATGTCTTCTTAAAACATTCATTTACATTACATTGCACATTAGCATTAGCATAAATAAGCAGCCAGCGGCCAAAGTTTGAGATGTGTATATTAAATGGGTCGGATGGGAAGAGTGTGTGCAGTTAAAATGCGATGTACTTTATTTTGCATTTTTATGACATGACCCATCATCTCACAATCACGTCGTATATCGTGTCGTATGGAAATTTTAGTGAGGTATGAAATTATATAACGCCGCCCGGTTTATGTATAGAGTTGAAATTTGCGGAATAGAAAAAAAGACTAGGAGAGACGAAAAGGGGGCGAAACTTATTATTATTTTGAGAATCTTGGAAACTCAGAGAGCTGCTGGAATAAGTAAGGTTGGTGCTAAAACTTTACTACGACCTGCAATTTAATAAAGATAATGATCCATATGCAATTTTAAGTTTTCATAAACACTTTAAAAGTTGTAGTTATTTATTGAAACGCAAAAAATATAATAGCCAGAGTCATAATAATGGGGACAGAGATGGGACTCGAATAACTACTGCCTGCAGTTGTAGTTGTAGGTTCGGTCGTAGTTGGTGGTGCAGTTGTGGGTGGGGTTGTAGTTGGTGGTGCAGTTGTGGGTGGGGTTGTAGTTGGTGGTGCAGTTGTGGGTGGGGTTGTAGTTGGTGGTGCAGTTGTGGGTGGGGTTGTAGTTGTGGGTGCAGTTGTGGGTTCATCCGTAACTTGAGAACCTTCCTCCGCCAAAATGACATATTCACCCAAGTTTTCGCCAGGCCCGTTCTCCAAAGTTAGGTACACGACCGCTTCCTCGCCCTCCTGTCTTGCCCTTGGTGGTGGTGGTGGAATTGATATTGACCCTAGAAAGCGCATACATCCATAATTTATTTAAAACTCTCTGGTACTGGTACTGGAAATCCAAGTGTGGTTGAATCAATACCTGGTTGAATCACTCCATCGTTCACTGCAGAATTAGGCGTGGGCTCAGAGTACGAGAACCACCCGGTAAGGACACCTTGTCCGGTGGACCGAATGTTAATGCTAAGACCAATGTTAATTGCAGGGAACGAGTATTGAAAGTATCGCCGTTCTTCTGGGTTTAACCTTCCAGTTTGATTTGTTCCTGATTCATTATGAGGCTGAATTACAAATCGGCAAAAAATTTACTAAATTATATGTCTCACCAAGTGCTGGTTGTTGAGGCACTTCGCACGTAGCTGAATTCATGTGATAGAAAAACTCGGCCAAAGCGTCATAATCATTCACCATGAAGACACGTTTTGGGTCAAGAAGAGCGATTTGCAATAGTTCTGGGTAGTCGATGTCGCTCCCAATTCCGACAGAAAATGATACCAAGCCTCTCGCCCTCACAGCCATCAAAGCTTCTGGCAAGTTCCCTCTAAAATTATAATCACAATTTTAGCATAGTTTTACTAACGTATTGTTCCATATTTCGTTATAACCTACCGGTTGTAAAGTCCATCTGTAAAAGTGGTGATGACCTGTGGAACCCCACCACGAGTTCCGATCGCATTGTAAAAGTCGACACCCATGAGGAGTCCTGCAGGCGTATTTGTGTTTGCATTTGGATAACTTGCGTTTTTAATGACGGCGTCCATCTGTTCATTAGTCAGGCTGTGTTGGAAGTCGAATATTTCGTAGGCAATGTCCGCATACGTGATGAACGCCACTCTACTCGTGTCCATTGAGAATGTCTTGACCAAGTCAGCTACGAAACCTTTAGCCTACGCATAAGCAGTATTGATAAGACAAGAATTCTGGCATTTGGCGTTATTCTGATACCTTTTCAAAGTCAGCAACCCCAATACTGTTAGAACCATCAAGCACTATGCAAATATCCATCATCCCCTCGCAAACGAAATCACTCTCTAACGCCCTCACCTCCCTGATGAATACCTCCACGGTCTGCGTCGGGCGATAGTTGCTTACCCAATATTGCGCTTGGGCAGCTACCGTTCCAGGAATCGGTTTGTTCTCATTGACCAATTGCTGGATAAACAATCTTGCCGCGAGTCCAGAGTAAAAAGGTTTCAACAAATCATTCCAGGTCACCGACGTCCTCCAGTTAATGCCCCATCTGGTCTGAATTTCGTCATAAATATTTTCCGGAAATGTGACGTTTTTCGTCCGATTAAAGTACGCCTCGTCCACTTGCCAAATTCCCCCAAGATATCCATCCCGATATGTTTTTGGATCTTCACCGAATCGCGTTTCTGTGAATGCTATGCGGCGAAATAGGTTTTGATCATCGGGAAAAATTCCGGTGCGAACAATCCGACGAATTACGGCATCCGCGACATCGGCACCTTTTGTTTTTTCCTCTAAGGTCTCGTCCACAGATTGGACGAGTGTTGTGGCGACGAGGAAAATGAATAAGCTTGGGAGGATCATTTTGGAAAAAAATATATCACCTTGTCATACCAATGTCACTGGTTCGACTAACAATGAGAATTTTAATACCTTGCATAAGTTGTAAATTGACCTTATCGAATTATCATTTCATATCTTATTGTTCATTCATCATACTTAAATGATTATTAAAGTTGCATTAATTAATCCCAGAAATCAAATGAACACGGTCCATGTCCTGAGTAACACACAGTTTGTACGTGTATCTGTGTTTTTTGTGTTATGACTTGTTTTCGATCAAGTGAGTGGTGATGTAATGCAACAATAATTCATATATCTCACTCCGTTGCGTAATAAACTGTGCATTGGGTAGAAATGATGGACATTATCTTTGTTTATGACAAGCGATACATACTTCTGTACATATGACATGCCGTAGGAAATTCTGGCAGCCGAAATAGACCGTTCCATCACGTAATGCGTACAATGCAGGTATTTATATGGTTTGGTCATCGGTATTTTTATGAATGAAACAATGAACTGTTTATGTAAAGTATTATGATTACTCAGCAAGCTACAAAAATAAAAACGTCGTTTTATTTTCATAAACTGTGCTGAATGTCATTAATCTATTTCAGGATCATAATTTTGATTCTGTTGCAAATGAGCAGCACCAACAAAACAAACCTGCTTGAAAGTAAGTCAAAGTCAAGAATAGAATCCGGACAAGTGCATATTTTGAACCACCATTTTCCACAACTTTCTCCAATCAAAAGGAGAGCCCAACCCGTCAAGTGGGAATCTGCTGAAGTCGCCTTTCTTCTCGTGGTCTCATCTCCTTCTGCACACGGAGGAGGTAATAAAGGCCCCGTTTTATTTCATAATTCAAAACCGAGGTCGTAAAGTAGTCAGTCGTTCGTCGGATGATATGGGATGCAAAGATGATGACACTACACATCCAATTCATAGTTCATAAATAAAGGATTTTATTGTCAAGTCAAGTCGTCCACGCGAGAAAAGCATGCAAGGCGAGCACTTCTTCCAACTTTTGAGTCTGACGTTTCTACTGACGGGGAGTCAAGCCTTCTGTGGCTTTTTATCCGAATTTCCTCTTGATCTCTGAGTGAGTTTTAGGTATGTACACATAATCCATTACGTAATCCATCCACTAATCGTCCGCGAGACACGAAAGTTACGAAATATTTCGAAAATTTTCAATATTTAGAGTAACTTCATTTCAAAAGTTTTCGAGTTTTCACTGCACATTGCGTAACTCTTGGGGAACGTGTGTGCCATATTGTTCTTCTATTGTGCTCGGTATTATGCCGAGTACAAAAGAAAGCATTTAATTTAATTTCCTCAAGTAGTCGTAGTACTACCACCAGCAGCGGATACACCTTTTTCTTATTTCTTTCTTCTCAACGTCCGCTTTTCTCAACTTTTTCTCCATATGCGGGCAGACACAGGGCTAAAAATAAGACAAAACTGGATGAATTCGGATCCTTTTTCTGCCTTTCTTTCTCCCAGACCAAATACGAGATAAATGGAAAGTTGGTTAGAAAATCCTATAAAAAAATAACATATTATTGTCAACCGACGTATATATTTCTGAAAAATGAATCTTTTCTTTAAAAAGATAAATAATAGAGAACCGAAGAAACCCGAAATACAATACCTGGACTGTGCAGAACGGGGGGCAATACATTTTATGATATAGTCCAACTACATAATAAAGTATAAGGTTGGCTGCCTTGCTAACCCATGGAATGAACCGTTAAAATTAAATGAAGAAGTGGATTTAGTTATGAAATGAATAGAGAAAGCCTTCTTCTTGAAGAAAGGAGGGGGAAAAAGCGTGAGCTGAGCCGGGCTCAAAATGCCACTTCATTTCATTCAGCTTATGCCTTTTACACAGGGTTTTGCACCTTGATCGTGGTGAAATTGTGGTTTTTGCACATATTTGACACTTATTGGACTAATAATTCATGACCAAGTTTAAATAAATAAAAAACTATGTATTTCTATTTCGTCCAGTATCACATTTGAAATTGCGATATCAATTTCACCCCGAAATTTCTGAAAATATGAATTTTCGTCAGAAATCTCCAGATTTATTTTGTGGTCAGCCGGCACACACGCGTTCTGTTCCACCCCCGGAAAGGAGAACCTTTGTGTCTTTCTCCTGCCCTGGAGCAAAGCGAGAAAAGACATTCAGGATTTGAAGAGAATAATAGAAGCGTCTCCTGCCTGGCTTGGCTCACTGGCTGAGAAAGAGCCATTTCATTATTCCTTCATTTTATTCATTTAACTGCACAGAATAAATTATGTTTATATCTTGGTGAACCACCTCCCTTCACCATTCTGGACAGCTGCATGTTTATGAAATTGGGAGAAAATTAAAATGGCCCTTTCTTTGGGCATAACCACATTATCAGAGCAGTTCTAAAGTGTTGGTTGTAGAAATAAATGTACAAAATGTGAACATGAGTATGCACTCTTGCATAGCGCGTTGCAATATGTTTAACAAATTAAGCGGTTTCGAGTAATTAAACTAATGCTTTCTCTCGGCACTTGATTTTGGCGAGGCTAAATATTGAATTATCAGAAGCAACAAAATTTGGAACTGAACATTCCCTTTCAAGGAAAACTTTGAATAAAATATCTTTTTTTAGCAGTCAAAGTTGGATTTAAGTAAGTATTTACATCCAAGAGTTGGCCAAATAAAGGCGGCGCCCCTTACTAAATCCTAATTTAAAGTAATCAACTTTTCGAACTGGAATTGGTACATACTTTCCCTTTTCGTGTTGTGTTCTTTTCCGTGCGTGGGCTTCATTCACTTCACTTCGGAAGAAGACGAAGAAAGTACAAATTAGGGTGGAGATGGTATAAATGCGAGCAAAATCTACTACTACCACCACCAACCAACATACCTAAGTACATATATCTATACAGCAGAGGTGAAAGTTCGCAAACTAGACTCACATATAGTTAAGCTTTCATCTCATCCCAAGAAATAAATGAGGATGAAGGGCCAGGATTAACAAATTGGACATTTCTCTGCCTGCCTGAGTGGAAACCACGTTTTGTTTGAGATGGATAGCCTGCTTGATGTGGATTTAATCCGCATACCTTTCACCACACGATATACATATATACCATTCTTTGAATACATATGTCTGCCTGCCCAAAAGTGTGCGTTCAGTGCGTTATTAAGCATTTGGCCCGATTTCTAATTCAATTTTAAACTCCCTTTTCAATCCATGTCGTACAACTTTTCAAGAGATTGAATCAACCAATTAGAGACCGATAGACTTTTCCTTGAGAAAAGATATCGGCTTATGCTTCGCCTTCCTTCCTTCTTTTCGCTTCAATCAAAACTTGACGAAAGAAAGTTGCGATGATGAAACGTTTGAAAATTTGAAGAGTTGCAGAGCGGTGGCAGGTTTGGCATAGAATTAGCAAACAAGTGGAAGTAGTGAGTGAGCGAATGGAGGAGCAAATTATATTAGCACTACATAAACTTACTTTGGCGGATATGAGATGAAGATTGGCGTGCTTAAGTCCACTCATCCTGCACCCACCACCACCACCTCGTCTGACAAGGCAAGCCAACTTTTTCTCGTCTCCTTTCACCAGAAGAAGAACCTGGGAAGCCTGTTATATGGATACAATAAGGAAGAAAAGTGAAAAGTCGGTTTCGTGGTGAGCTAGGATTAGGTGTGCGTGTGCTTTGGTAGGAGAGAGGCTACTTTCTCCTCATCAGTTGCAGATTAATTTTGTACGGTTGAAAAGTTGGGTTTTGAGAAAATGTTGATTTTTCTATCGTTTTTAACTCCATACAAGCAGCTTTTTTGTTCGCATTATTAATTTTTGAAATATTTAATTTAATTCACCCATTCAAAAATTTTATTGTCCAAACCTTTTTTTCTATCACAATTCAATCAATTGTCCCACTTTGTTTTCTGCATGAAAATGCGAAAGTACTCGAAACATGAAAGCAATCTCATCCCAACAAACAACAAGAAACGAATGTGCAGGTTTTATTTAGTGATTTGATTTGTGCTCGACCTCTGACTTGATCAACCTCTCTCTCGCTCTCAGCAACTTCAGCAGAGTCCAGCCAGCCAGCAGTCAATCATGGAAATGAACCAGAAGTAAGTAAAGTAATGCGGACCAAATGTAGTGCAAAATACACAACACAAACATAATGTAATTCAATGCAGACTCATCCCATCTATTTGTTCTTTCACTCTTGTGTATCCCTCCCTCGGTGGGTTTTGTTTGCAGAATATATAAAATCGCACAACATGTGTGTCTGTGTGTGAAAGTACGTATATACGTATTTGGAGCTTTTGCAGCTGCCCGATTTCTGTTGACGCTGCCGAAAAGAGAGGGGAGAAGAATGCCGAAATCTAAATTCAATAGGGTGTCCAGATCAGCAGAAGAGTTCCATCAATCCGTCCACTGAGCTTTGAGAGAGGAGCAGATTTACATAGAAAATCGTCCAAATTTCATCAGTGAGAGTGGTCAGTGGTGGCAGTGGCTTGCTTCTGATTGAGGGTTGTTGAATAGGAGGAGATTTCGGACACAGATGAAATGAAATTGAATCGCATTTATTATTTTTGTTTAGTCGACTAAGGATAAGCTCCATCCATCCGATTGTAAAGTTGTTTTTGTGTTTAAATCCTTTGCCATTATTGGTTTCATTATTATCTGTTGCCCATATAAATTGGGGAGTCGATTAATACGGGGAAAAATACAAGTGTTCTCTCTTACCTCATTATTTCACTTTGTTATTCATTTATCTGCGGTATAATTATGAGCATACACGCATACGTTCCAAGGTTATGAAAGTAGGACAGATGGCTGGTGAATCAATGTCTGTAAAGAGAAAGTGTAGTTTCTGCTGGTGCTTCTATTCCAATTAATCACGAACCCAACTCTGGTTAATTTACAAAATTATGGTTTTACGGGTTAATTATACGTTTCTTTCAAGCTTATATCTACGTGCTCCAAGCGGGGTTCTCTTTGATAACCGTAAAGAGAAATAAACACGTGACGGCTGTGGTTTGGTTGGTGAAAGTTGTCACGGACAAAGCGGATTCATTATACGATCAGCGATTTTATTATTACGTTGAGACGTATTTATGTAACTGATTCTTTTTTTCACGAAGTTGATTTCCATATTTGTGACTACGATAAATTATTTTTTATATAAAAATTTCAAAAATTTTCTCCACTTTTTGTTCTACAGGCTTTTCAACAATGGGGTAAAAAACTCCCTCCAGTCATTTTAGTAAAGTTTCTCCCTCATAATAACTATGCAAATTAGTTAGGAAAGTATTGATGATGATGCGGCTGGCATGCCACGTTCTGGGAGAAGGGGGATGACTGTCATCATTATATTTTCCACCACTTTTTCTTCAACTTGGTCATATTCATGCACTATATCCATAGTTCTACTACTTCATCCTCCTACGTCTCATGCATACCCGAAACAAAGTGTCTGGCTAAAGAACTAAATAACAAGTAACTCTTCTGTCTTCTGTCTGATTAGTTTAAGCAAATTCGGCTAACTTTCTCCCTCTCTTTCCTCAAGTGCCATTCTGGAATGAAATGAGATGAGTTGAGAAAATTAAAATGAATTTTAATGAATTTTGAATTGAGAACTTGTTCCGTGGGAGAGGAAGCAGAAAGGCGCAAGCAAGATGCGTTCCAACTAAATTCGTCTAGTTTCTGGGTCCCATGTTTACAAAAGAGAAAGTCAAAGCAAAGCAAACAGCTTTATTATTCCCAAACTCATGACTCTCTGAAGAGAAGGAACGTATACATCTTTCAAAATTTGAACGATGATTACAATTTACAAAATTGAACCACACGCTGCGAATTCCCATCCAAAGTTTGAATTGCATTGTAATAATTTCACATTTAGAGGAGGAAAGTTATGGTGTTAAATTGTCGGAACGGATGGCAATAATTTAATCGTGTAAAGTTTCGCAGAGGTCGATTTATTATGGGGCAAGGTGATAAATTGTTGGAAATTGTTGATGATTGCAGCATTGTTGTGGAGAAGGAGATAAATCAGGCAAAAGATTTCTTACACTTTTAAATTTTTTTATTGAAATTTGGAAAAAAACTGATTGTTTGCAGCCACCATTTTTGTACAATATGGCAAAACTAGTTTTATTTAGGGGTGCAAAAAAATGTGTGAAAAAATCTGTTCTCTCACGACCAGAGCTGGCGAGGAATGGAGGGTCTGGAAAATGTGTGTGATGCTGAAAAAGATGGCCGAAGGAGGTATTTCCCAGAATTAAGGCGCATTCCTTTCCACCATCGCGAGAAGTGGAGGAATTTCTCCTTAAAGTGGAATTAGATCAAGCCAAGACTATCCTGCTTCCGAGCAGAAGATCATTTCATTCCCATTATTGGACTACGAACCAAGATACTCCTACATTGTCCTGTTTCTTAACTTGTCATCATTTTCCGCCCCCCAGTCAATAGTAATAAGACGAGGAAGGACCTTATTACTATTGACTATTCACAATTTATGAGTTTGCCATGAAGAATAGTCTCTCACGAGTGGGGAAAGTATTTCATGTCTGCTTATCGTTAGTCGATATGATATAAATACGACATTTAATCAAGGTTCGTCCGCACCCATTGGCCCGAACGTACAGTAAATAATGTGAAAACTGGCAATAAATATGTAACTGGATGAATATGACATAATAAATATCGCGTCAAAATTCCAAATATTTCGAATATTCGCAGGAAACGCTTTGGTCTCGTGGATGGAATTTAATTATGAATGTGTGAATATACACAGGATAAAGAAGTTGAAGCATTTATTGTATTTTATTATAGATGGCAAATTGCAAAATCCGGATTTTGTCTGCAGCTTTACGAACTCCTCTATTTATAACTTGTGAAATGTAAAGCATGTAAAATAATTCATTGTAAATTCTATTTTTATTTAATATTTATTTTTGAATCTCATCTTTCGCCCACTAAAATCTACATATATTAAATGTGTAATAGCTTTTATAGCAGGTATAGCAATTCTACTTTTAGAAATAGGATTTGACTAGATATCACTTTATTTATGTACACCAGGATCTTCTGATCGATATAATTTTTCTTAATGAATTTTGAAAAGTAAAATTGCATCCTTATAATAATATGTATGTAGAAAGGTTGTGATTGTCATTTTGCTCGAAAGTTGATGAGGATAATTATTTCCTACTTAAGATTCCTCTAAGTTTCTTCTACACTTTCGATTTTGAGGGAAAGCAGCCTGCAGTTGGTCGTCTCGAGCGGGGTGCTCGTGATGACACAACTTTTCCCCGTGTTGTCGTCGTCATCATGTTGGTTTTCGTCTTCCGATTGCAATTCATCAATGATTACAGATGTTTCTGAAAGTAGAAGAAATCGCATCAAAAACTCATTACGCGTGTGTGCCAAAGTTTCTGAGACAACTTTTCAGTTTGAGTTGGAAGAAGAATGAAATCTCGCGACTCGAAGAGATCAAATTGAAAATGAATTAGTGTTTGAACGACACGGATAAAAAAAATTTTAGAGAATTTCTCAGATTTATTGATTACTTTTGATCACGTAAAAGAAATACTTTGCGAATCGCGAGTGCAAATTTTGCTCTTGACAGGATTTCCTTGCAATCTTCAATCCTATGAAAATTGCACAAAGGAATAATAATATTGTATTACCTTGTTTTAAACCTAATTTTCCATCCCCAACATCACAATGCATGTCGTTCAGATCAGATTTGAAACTCACATCCATCTTCACGTCCTCATAGCAGCAGGAGGAAGAATCCAGTTTAGATCCCAGTTTCAGATTGGTCTCCTCCTCAACCAAACTCAATTCTGATTGTGTATTATTCTCATTTGTGCTCTCTGAAATCTTTGGCTCTGCCAGTTCCTCTTTTCCCACTCCCTCATGTTGTTCGTCAAGACTGGAAATGTAATCTTGGCCCTGGATCTTATCTCCGTCAACATCAAAGCATTTCTGCACTTCGTCCGAATCTTCTTCTTCTTTTAAAGGCACGCTTGTCTCAATAATTTGAATGATTTGGTTTTGTCTTTGACTTTGATTTTCTTCCCCTTGTTCTTCTTGTACAATTTCGTCATACAGGATTCCAACGTCTTCTTCATCATGCATGTTTATGTTCTCATCGCCGGCAGGAATTTTTTTATCTGAAGAGTTTTTACATTTCACCTCCTTGATCTTTAAAGGAGCGGTGGTGGTGGTGGTGGTGATGATGACACTTTTGAGGCCATTTTCTTCTCCACTGTTCTTCCCCCCGGTCAGAGTGATATCATCACTTCCTTCTCCACCACTACTGCTACTGCCTCCGCCCGTAATACTGCTTCCAATGCCTGAAGTGATGATTGTGGTGGTGACGTCGTCTCCTCCGCCAATTGAGGTCGTTGTGTTACTTGTCACACTTTCTCCCCCGGAACCGGAAGACGACGAGAATGAAGAAGATGCTCTTATCACTCTATCAAGCAAGAGGAGGAGAGGACGATTCTGGGCACTTTCTGAGGACGAGCAATTGTTAAGAGCTCTTCTCCCACTTTCACCACCACCACCGCCTTGACGCTGATTCAATACGGTGGAGACGAGGAGGTTGATTGCGTTGAGACGATTGACATCCGCCGGTGTTAATGAAGGGTTCCCCGCAGCTGCTGAAGATTGAAGTGGTAGTGATTGTAGCTCTTGTTGTGAACCACAATTGGTTCGATAAGCATTGATAAGACTTTGTATCGTGGCCAGACTCAGCCTGTCATGCTCGTCGAGACTGGTATTATTTTGTGTCGTGTTTCGTGTTGCAGGTCTTGTCAGCGAATTCCTGTTGTTATTACAACTACTTGATCTTTGTTGTTGTCTATATTGCTCTCTTTCGAGGAGGAGTTGTCTCAAATTTAGAATTCTGACGGGAGCTTGATTACTACTCGGGTTGTTTCTGTTGTTTGATGGATTGGAAATATTATTGCCACCAGTACCACTGCGTGGATTGGTGGTGGTGCTAATAAAGCGGGTTTGTTGTTGTACGTTTGGTGAACGGGTCCTACTTCCTGCTGTGTTTGATTGTAAGGACAATAATTGTTGGAGCTGGGTCTGCAGTTCGACACTTTCTGGTCGTGGTGGTGGTGGTGGTCGGAAACTGTAGGCTGGAGGAGGTCCCACTCCTGCCGGTGGTGGTGGCGTTCTCAAATTCGTGACGTGGTAAAGCCCTGTCGACGAAGAAATTGAACCCCTCCCATTACTTGGAGTGGGCAAGGTTGAAATGCTGGATTGTGATGATGAGTACGTCGACAAAACTGAGGCCGGTCTCCCACCCGTGTGATACTGCTGAGAATAAATGCCAGCCACGTTGTTCTGATTCCTCCTGTTCGGTTGGTTATTGTTGTTGAGGTTATTGTAATACGAGAGATTGTTATTGCCTTGTGGACCAAAGATATGATTATTGTTGAGAAAACCACCCCTCAAATTTGGAATGGTTAGGGTCGAGGGGTACGCGGAGGACGTGGTGGACAGCGTGCTTGGCGTGGCGTAATGATGATGATGATTAGGACCGGTCGCCGACGAGTGTGACGACGAGGGCAGCGGATATGGAATATAGGTGAAGGACCCTCCTGGAGAAAGTGCACCCCAATCAGCACAATCCAGTGGGGTGCATACCACAGAGTTGTTACTGTTCTGGGTGGAATAGATCGAGGCTAACGCACTCGTCGTGGAGGAAGAACCTTGAATATGGTAGAGACCTACGTACCAAATAACAAAGGGATCATTATGATATGACCTGGTGCGCAATTTATGTCGTTTTTTTCCTCATCATCCTGCGGTCATTCATTCAATCTGGAATCAAATCTTGACTGACAGGGAATGCGTATAAAGAGTCATCATTCAAGTCATGACCAACTTTTTGCTAACGTTGCCAATTTTTTAAGGCTACTATCACAATAATTTCGCCTAGAAGAAAAACATATTTACCAGAAAAAGGTCCATTATCACGACTCCTCCTTTTCTTGTATACGACGCAACACGAACAGAAGAAGCAAATCGCCGTCACGAGGAGAATAACGACCGCCACGACGCCACAAAATATAGCAAACACGACGGGAACGCTGTAACGTAAGGAAAAAAAAAACTTTGGAATTAAATTCATTAAGAGGAGGATTCACCCCGTATTTTACTTTTACTTGCGTGTGTATAAATTAATTGGAAATCATGCAAAACTTGCTAAGCTATAAAGCAGGACAGGAATTCATTCTCTGATTATACCAGAGTGAAAGTAGTGATGTAATAAAACTGCAAAGGAGAAAGTATGGGATTACCCTGGCCGACAAATTAGTTAGTGTCTCGACCTCCTGCTTTCACCTTTGTTTACATTTGTTGGTTGGTTATGTATGTACATAACCAAACCAACCCCTAATGTTACAAGGGGACGACAAACACACCGGTCCTGATGTGTACCTTGCTTCTTTACCTAATTGTGCGAGAATGCCGAGTCAACTTCTTCCTCGGCTGGTGAAAGTGGCATGAGGAAACTTTGTTTGTTTAGTATATAGCAATTTGAAATGAAGGTTTATTGCTAGCCTGGCATCAACAGTCGACACGGAGTTTATCTTGCTGGGGGAAAGTCAGTTTCACTTCTCATGGACTTTCTCCCCACTAAATAACAATAAGGAAAGTACCACAATTCCATGAATACAATCTTCCCGTGAAACACTGTCACATTTAGGTCCAACTTTTTGGGCGAGTTTACTCACTTATGCGGTGGTATTAGTTAGGTTGGCTGTGGGAGTATACTAATTGAATGGATTAGGGACATGCAGGTCGTTTGTTCATTGTGACTAAAACAGAATTGTTGCTACTTATTTACTGGTTCGTGGAGACAAATGAGGGCCAGTCCATGGCAGACTTTCGCCGGTTTTTCACCCACATATCTCTTCTGAGTTGGACAGAGACACATGTTTGTATGGGAAGAGTAAAAGTTGGGTGGATTGGATGGGAGGATGTAAATCTAGCTAATAAATTGCAGCCTTTTTAATTAAGCGTGATAAATACGGGATGACAAGGACGATGTGAGTGATCTGGCTTATTTGTCAAAATGTTTTAGTGCCGGGATGTATGCAGAGAGTGTAATTACGTACGTGGCAGGATGTTTAGATGAGCAATAAATTCGTGTACATACATAAATCCATAAATTGTGTCGGATTTTGTGCATAAAAATTTACACTTACCGCACAGTGAAAGGTGTAACATCGGCCGGATTGTCCTCGTCAACCTCAACTTCCGGTGCTCTCCCATTTAGAGAATTGGCCCGTGCGACGCAACAGTATTTATAATACGTCGTTCCGCAACAAAATACTGGAATCGTGGGAGTGTTCTGAGGACAGTAGAATCCTGTGTTCCATTTCCCGTAAATATCGACAAAACCGGAACAAAAGTCGCTCCCCAAAACTGCAAGTTTATACAAAAAGAAAGGGTACATTGCTTACAATTGTTACGAATATGATATCTAGACAAATATCAACATGACATGATAAGACGGAAAAGTGTTTAGTTTCATTTGTGTGACTGTCAATTACATGACAATTAGACTAATTAGCGTGGCAAGAGGGACACTGACAGTTGAACTCCGTATTAATTGGGTACCTTGTGACATTAACTATGATTCTGGGATCTCTACTATATCACAATTTATACCAGAATCGATATATTCCTATCAAAAGCTGTTACACATTGTACAACGTAATATCATTATTATACACAAACGACCAAATCGTCATAAATGTAATGGGACAAAAAAACAGGGACCACCATTACATCAAATAGCTATCGTTCATGCATTTTAGATCCCAAATTGCAAGTCTCCATGTTGAAATTGTCGGCTATGGCGTCGTTAATGTAGCCCGCCTGTTGCAAAACCATTGTCCATTGTCCACCCGTATAACTGGGACAGAGTCTAGCGTGTAATGTGATGGTACTGCAACACAAGGTTGGAATGACTGAAATAAAATAAAAAGAATCCCGTCGTGGACAAAGTCGGATATGAAAAATGCAGACCGAAGCAGCTTGTTGCTTCTCTCGCTGCCTTTCCCTTTGTGAGATTAGATTTTGTTGTGACAGGATGCTCTGGGGACTTGTAGATATCTTCTACCGTCATCAATAAAAAGCGAATGTCGCCAGGACAGAAAATTATGATGGGAGCAGGACACGATTGTAGTATTGCGCTCAATAATACTGACGATTGCATATGTTTAATCTAGTATTTGTATTTGAATTATGCCTCTAAAAATTCAATCAACCATTTTCTGGTATGTAAAGGAAGGTAATAATAACAATAATGTCACGGATGGAAAGTAAAACCGGATGCAGGTTACCCTTGCCAAACGCATCTCACATCAATCAATTTGATGGTCGTGTTGGGCACGTCTCTGACTAAATAAAGCGTTACAGGGATACATTCGCATATTTAGGAGAAGGAAGAAACCCTTTTGTAGCCCATTAGTTTAGCGGAGAAGAAGTCATATTATTCCGCTCCCTGTGAAACAGATTGTACCGATTAGTCTGCTTCAGAAAGTAATTTGAATTTGGGAATGTACTTGACAAGAAAATCCACAAGGATTTTTTTAACTTGATGGTAAAATGCGGAGAATTTCGTCAATGTGGTTTCTCGAGATAATTCGGCTAGATGGGAGAAGTAATAAATGTTATTTAGAAGGATGGGTTGGAACAATGTTCTAAATATTTCTTGTAAACTGATAGAACAAATTTCGATTAAAGGATTAAATAAACTAATAAAATTTCTGCATAGTTTCATAAAATTAGAGAAATATTTCTCAAATTACAATTTTCTGACGTAATAATTCCCACAAAAATTGCAATTTGTTAAGTGGTACACCAAAGTTCGTAATTATGACGGATTCCTCTTAAATGCCATCTTTTACTGTCACTTACGATTACTTTCTTTCTTTCCTCATACGCCAAAATCTATTAAGTAGACGAGCTATATACATGATTCTGATGACTTTCTGTCACATTTTGATGAACGACAGCCAACATATTTTTCGTGCTTAATCCACCACTTTTCCTCTTTTTGGCTCATCTCAAGCTGGGATTTTCTCCGGTGAGATTGAGTGACATAATTGCCACCTAGAGTTTGACGGGTTGATTATTCGCATAGTTGGAAATTCTTGATTCTTGATATAAGACAGTTACTTACTTATACGGATCTGCATATTTTAAGTCGCAGTATAAAACTTGTCACATATCACCCATCATAATTTGTCATCATCTTCAGTCGGAAACTTATGGGGAACAACTTTCCCAAAAAATCAGTCTCCTCGCACACATCATCATCATCATCACGTCTCCCTAAATTTCCTCAGAAACTATTAATACTCGCATAAGTCAATCACCGCATAAACACCTTGAAGAAGCTGTAACTCTCTATTTCTGTGAGGTTTCTGCCAAAAAATCACGAACGCTGATCTCCACCCGCCACACCGAGGGAGAGGAGAAAATATAAAAAAGACATTCACAACCTTTCAACCGATTTGGCTAAAGATCAAAACCCACCATGAAACATACACGATTCTCAGCTTTCCATTAACGTAACGCGAGCTAGTCAGTCACCCCAGACAGTCAATAGTCACGTTACATTAAGACGTTTGCACTTTTTTACCCCCGACTTCATTTACAAAAACAAAATTGGTTTATGCAGTCTCCCCCCGAGAAGAAAGAAGAAATGAGGAAATGTTTACTTGCGTTGAGCCAAAAAGTTGTACATGTCACAAATCCCGTTAAATAATACAGAGAGTTACGGACATTTGCTTACTGACAGATTTACAAATGGTCGGAACAGGCCTAAATAATGAGGAATCAGATAATAGGAAGGAAGGAACCTTGCGTAATGCCTCGTTATGCAGGTGTTGAGAGATATTTTGGGTAAAAGTGAAACATTTCGTAATACAAAATCCATATTTCTTAACTAAATTACTTGTTATGTCATTGTGCAAATTTACTGGAGGATAAATAGATTGCTTAATATCTTACTTCGATGATCCTCATGCGCTAATCCGGGGTACGGCATTTTTTAACGGTGTACACGAAATCAACAAGTTTCAGACTGAAAACACTTTTAAGAAATGAAGAACTAATTCATTAAGCTAAACTTTTCAGATTGATTTCGTCACATTCACTTTCCATTTGAAAGTCTGTACACAAGTCACGATTTTGCTATTGCATAAGCTACTTTTTTCTCAAAAAATTATCACTCTTCTCAACTTTCTCATATGCTACGTTTCACAACTTTTTCTTTGTATCTCACAAAGTGCACTGTTTCCAAACCTTGATACGTAACCGGACCAGACTTTCATATGTATGTATGTGAATTGTACACGGTCAGAACAGCGGGCAGGACAAGACAAACTATCTTTGCTCCGACTTGTGTGACGTGATTAGGAAGTGGACGTTGACTCTGTGCGAGAGGAAGGAAGAGATGCATCCACGAGGGAAATCGGATGCAGACTGGTCATATCATGTGAGAATCCGGGTGTTTTATGATGAGCAACCCGAGAAAGGAGTTGCTTGCTGCTTAAAACCTACACGGTTTCACAGGCCACACTACTTTTTTTCCGTAGGACGGTTATCCAAGTCTGGTAAGCAACTCTGTTTTGTTTCTGTCCAAGAAATGAGATACATGTATTCGGAATCATGCTACTTACAAGACAAAGAGAGTTTAGTACTTAGCTTGAAAGTTTTTATTTATTTTTCCAACAAAACAGGAGAACAATTGTGGCATGTTAGCATCAAATTTTATTTTGTGTAACGAGTTTTTTTTATTAACTTTTGGCATGCATACAACGTCAGTATCAAGATCCAAGCCAAACGTAAGAAATTGACTAATTGCTGTTTCACGAGACACGCATACTTGTTACAGGTTTTAAAGATCAATATCTTCCACGTGTGTGTTTGTGTCGTGCAAAATACGGGGAAATAAAATTAGATTGGAACACATTGCAAATTACGTTCCTGCATCGCTACCTGTCATTCAAACCGACTTGATGTCTCACCCGAATTCACTTTCTGAATCGCATCTGGCGAATTAGCTTTCTTTCCCCATTACACAAGATTTTGGGCAGAATAAATAAATAAACAACATGGTAAACCACTTTGTCCTCCAGGGCGTTTCAGTCCCCATCTGGATAAGTACGCATGCATATAAACCATGTTCCAATATTTATTAAAAGTGCATCGCATCGCAAAAATAGAGTCCCCAAAAAACAAAATATTATTCCCAAAAGTATCGTAATCTCAGAAGGAGAAATAACTTGAGGATTTCAAGTCTAGACAAGGTACGAATTACTTTTTAAATATTTCTTAAACACTTCCAAACCAACCACCAGCAGCCCAACAATGATGGTGGTAGAAAAAAACGACTATAATTCTCCAAGTGGTATAAAATATTTACAAAACACTTAAGGTAATAGATGAATAGGATTTCGAGAGGAGAGAAAGTGCTCCACCACCGCAATAATATTTTCTTTCTGGTCGAGGATTCCTCCCAAATCTGGTGGTGGTTCAAGTTAACAACGATTTCTTGGTCGTGCATCTGCTCGAGGTGAATCTCTCCATATTCCCAAGAGTCACTTTTCTCAACTAATGCAACAGCCCCGCTATATCTACCCACCAAACCCACGTCCCTGTACAATGTGTAAAACTATTGTGCAATTCATATAACGCGAGCTCAATGAAGATTTAACGGACTTGTTTCTTCTCCTCCTCTTCTTTGGGGAAGTAAGCCCTGGAGGACTTTGGAGAAAGTAACACCAAGCAGACCACCACACGTTCGACCCACAAGTCAAATTATGTTTAAGGTATACGTGTTGGGAGTTATTATGTATTGCTATATCGTCAGCAGTGCGGTGACACGAGGGCAGAAAAGTTTGCTGCTTGGGTTTGCATTATTTGACACGTGAAAGAGTTGCTTGGTTGGGAATATCTTGGCGTGGCGTGGCGTGGCGTGTGGGGGTTAGTCGGCTAGTGTGGTTTGTGGTAGGTACGAGGGTGAAAGTGAAAGTAGTGGTGACGAGATGAAAAAGAAAAGCCTGGCATAAAAGACGTGTCAAACTACGTCTTAGCTATTATTGACTTTTTATGAATTTATGTATGAATTTTTATGAAATGCTGACTTAAAAATAGAAATTCACTTCAGTCATGTATCTTATATATTCCTTAATTACATAAAAGTGAAAAAAATGACGACGCGGAATTGTGGACACTACAAATTATTTTACACGAGAATTCAGCCTGATCTACTTTCACTCACTTTCCCTTCAAGAATCTCTTCCCCTTCGTTGCGAACGCTTCAGCTTCAGCAGTAATCTTATAGAAAAGCTGAAAAGTGAATTGAATTACTCCGCCGAGTGAGCGAGTACTTATCAAAAGTCCGAAAGGATTTATGAAGTTATGTCAATCAGAATGACACGTTTCAACCAATGATGTCTGTCTGATGGGTTGGCTTATCTCGTGTGTGGTTTGGTTTCGCTCCCTCTCTGTCCGTCCTGCTGCTGCTGTTGCTGCTGGACATTTATCCGAATCGGGGATTAATCCTTTCTCTGTGGTGGTAGATTTAGTTTCATGGTTGGTTTCCTTGCCTGGATGGATGGATGGACGTTCCTACTGGACTGGACTATCTTCTCTCAGATCGGGATGATTTTCTCCACACTTTCTTTATTTACTTTCACTCTCTCTTTCTCTCTCACTCACTGACATTTTTTTTACCAAGAGCGCCTCGTATTGTCAGTTTCCATCTTGACGCTTTCTATCTATTTCATACGTTATATGAGAGAAAAAAGTGTGGTGGTGGTGTTGATGTTAATCATGACGTGCTTAATAACCTATTGCTGTCTGGTGTCATATCATGTGTGTTGTGTACGTTACATCAACAATAATAATAAGTCGTTCGTGTCTCTCTGTTTGAACACGTAATTTGATGTTTGCTTTCTCCACGCCACGTACTACGTAGTAGTAAAAAACGAGAATCTGAAGAGATAAAATGTCGCAGCATTGATCGCAATTAATTTTTGGCTTGACCAATTCCCCAATGATTGGAAACGATCAAATGAAACCAAACAAAAATGGTTTACCTTTCAGACATTGACTTTGGCCAACAAACAACTTTCACTCTTGGACGACACACTACACTCCTAATTCTTGCACATACACGGTTATCGCACAACTTCAACTTAATTGGCAACTAACCAATCCTCTCCTGACTCCAAGTCTTCATTAGAACATTGCCCTAAAATGAATGACCTGAGAACGAATCATTTACTTCCTTCCGCTCCATTTCAGTTCCCAATTATTCTTGCTTTCCATCCAACCACAACTTCGTAATGATCTTCATCATGCCATAGCACACCTTGTGCACCTACGTACGTTACGTAGCGTAACCCTCCAAAACCACACGCTTTATAGAACCAGCGTCACCTCAACCACAACCAGTCAGTCTCGTAAAATCCAGGAAATTTCTTCATGATCATGATAAGTATGGCATGGCACACACACACACCAGGCGTAGTATCGATTTGACCAACGTCTCCTATTCCCATCATTATTACACGGCCACCACGGCATGAAGGAAGTAAATCAACTTCAAGTTGATATGTCGGCTTGGCCAAATCGCTGAAAATGTGGCCAGCACGAATATAAAATATTCAGCCGAATATATTCTAGTGAGATTTTCAAAAAATCAAGCAAGAAACCTAGCAAAAAAAGAATTAGCGGCTAAATCCTTCAATTAAATTAAAATCTTTCCAAATTTCATTTTTGACAGATCTTGGAAAATTGCTAAAACTTTGACCCTTAATTTCTCGGCCGGGAGTAGGTTATAGCAGCTAATTTTTTTTGCCATAATCTATATTTGCTTGAATTTTTGAGGCATCTCACTAGCCTGGATTTGACTGGATGTTGCCCCAAAATGTAAGGATTGGCCAAAATTTTACCGATTTCGCCCACAGTGCTTCCATAAACCTCCTCGAACACGGCTTCGCCACGACTACCAAGCTGCCAACACGACATTAAACTAAACCCAAGCCGAAACCTAAATCTATCGACAGACATCAAATTCATCGTAAGTTTAGGAGGAGAGAAAATGAGGTGATGGACCGAGACCGTATAAGACAGCGGTATCATTATTATCATTATTATCCTCTCTGCCATCCATCCATATGAACAATTTAATGCTGGGGACGGTGAATCCGTCGATCTGAAAGATGTACATACCTTATTTTCAAAACTTATTTCCCTCAATTCAATTTGAGTTATATTTGGTGTGACAGACGCTCAGAGTGAGTGTGTGGTTGGTGACCTGCTTATCTCGCATGCATAAATCCATCCAGGATTATATTTTATACTTCAAACCTTATGCAAGTCTTGAATTTGTACAGTTTCCAATTAAGGAAACCCACATAACACTGATTTTGCTACTAAATACATGAAATTGCACTTTAATGAATTACGAAATTAGAGATCGCCCACGGCGCCAATTTTTGTTGTGCATCGAGCAAATGTCACTTCCTCGTTCATCCATTGATCCATCCATAAAGTTAACTGCTGTCTGACAAAGTGAGCCTGCCCCTTCATCCTTGGGGCGAGATTATTGGCTTCAGAAAGAGGAGAAAGAACACGCCACGAGACGAGTTAAATGAGGCGAGTGTTATGTAAGCTATTTGAACGGAGGCGAGATGAGAGAACCCATTACTTTGCTTTCTCCTATCTTAATGAACTTATCATTTTTTTTATGGGGCTCTCTTCTCCTGCCAGATATTTTGCAATGAGAGGGTTATTTGCAAAATTGCACGAAATTACGAAAAAAATGACAATTTCTTGTTATCTACTTATTATTCGACAAGATTTTTTTCTCATTTTTTGCTTTGATGAGAAGCAAGTAATTGTTGTGTGTATGATCAAATTGAAGAATTATGGAGGTCGATCTAGATAATCACGACAACGGCAAATTATAGATTACTCTCATACTGTTATGTATATATGATTATACATAAATAAGTGGTACACAGTGAGAGGAGACAGAGGAGAGTATTTATTAGTAGAGAGTTAAAGCTGGAGTGAGTACAGATTCATAACTAATTACATATACATATCTACGTAGGCATACATATACCTAACACTACCCTCTCACGAAAAAATTTTTCTCCTGAAAAATAGTCTGAAAGAGTGTGTAGGTCTGCAAACTAAAAATTTCAGTAGTCACAATTTGAATTAGAAATTTTGATGGTTTACATATGAAAAATTCATGGAAAAATGAAAAATGAAATGACTCCGGAAAACAAACATTAACAAAGATTTTGCATGAATAACACATGGAACAATTCAATAAATATACACATATCGAATGACGTAGTAGTTATGCAGGGCTGGAACTTGAGAAGATGGTATGGCTCGCAATCGGTGGTAGAATTGTATCGTCTCAGGCGTGGTGGTGGCTGACTCATATAAAACTTGCAGATTAGGACAAAACGATGAACAAAGAGAAATAAATTGTTGTGGTCTTGGTATGTGGTCCATCGGGACATCGGAGGAATACGCAGACTTGTGAGGGTTTTGTGGGGGTGACCCATAACCGGACAACTCGAAGACGCAGGGTTTTGTGTGGGTGACCCATAACCGTGACTCGTTAAAAAAGGGGAACTATGTACAATGTGGATTTCCATACTTGAACACGCAAATAATATGTAGACGTTGCTCATTACAAACATTAATCTCAAGGCGTTATATTTCATTCTCAGCCTGGGAAAGTGGTGACAACGCAGATCGAGCATAAAAGTTCAGCAGAATTTTGAGACAAGGTGAATCAGATTACATTTTTGCAACAAAATTTGATAAAGAATTGGGACAATTTTCCAGACAAAATGAATAAAATGACATTTTTGCAAATATTTTGCAGAAATTTTGATAAATTTTGAACGAATTTTGATCAAAATTTTTCAGAAATTAAACGGAATTTTTTTTACAATATTTTTACGATTTTTTAACAATTTTGAAGGACAATTTTGCATATATTTTTTTTGACGTGTTTAAAACAAATAACGGAATTTTGAATTTAGCATATTTGCTCGAATTATGAAATGTAAATTTTGGACTGGAGATTTGGAAATTTTAAGAATGGGGGAATATTTTCAGGGTGCTTTAGAACCAATTTACAGACCTGATAGCATCCGGGAGGATAATCCAATTTACAGACCAGGTGACGAAAATTCACAAAAAAAGTTTCACAGGAAAATCACACAGTTCACGCAAGGTTTTGAGAAGAGAGATTTGGGAAGTTTCCCTATCGGAAGCAAAATGACAAGCTCTAAGGGGCGGTGGTCAAGCTGCTTAGTCGTCGCAGTCGTAGCAAATTTGGTAGGTGATATGTCTTGCGAAGAATTTTGAAAATTTTAAAATCCATTGTGAGTGGGAGGAGCGAAAGAAAGTACTCGACGGTCCACCAATGTTATGTATATATGATTATACATAAATAAGTGGTACACAGTGAGAGGAGACAGAGGAGAGTATTTATTAGAAGAGAGTTAAAGCAGGAGTGATGTACAGATTCAGAACTAATTACATATACATATCTACGTAGGCATACATATACCTAACAATACATTCATAGTAATACATACAGCCAATAATTTGGGCACTGTTACGAATTCTGTGGCAGACAAAAGGTTATCTTTCATCTCTTAATGTGTATCCCACTTACCTTCCAACTCTCTCTGCTCCGATGGAGGAGAGTCCAAATAGCTTTGTTGCTTTCAAAGAGCTCAAATGTTCATTAAGGATTACACGTAGCAGAAATGAACGAAGGCTTTGCCGTGACAAAGATTACATCACATTGTACTTTCTCGGGGTGAGCTCAAACGTCGTGAGATCCTTAGTTCTCCCATTAGAGGCCCGGGGGCTTGCACAAAGCTGGGATTAAGTTAGGCAGTGATTAACCATTTTGTGCAATATTAGATTAGCACGGAAGATGCAATTATCAATAGTTGGAAAGTGTATTTTGCAAAATTTTTACAAAATATGCACCTAGATCCTGACGCTGGTGGTGGGACAATCCTGATAAATTGCGGTATGTATATCCTTCCCTGAAAACTATCTGATTGTGATTTTCCAACCCAACCCACCCAGCTAATAGAGAGCATCTATTCAAAGTGTTTACATTTTCATCCTTACAAACGGCCAAAATTATGATTATGTTTAGCTATTTAGAAAATCCTTTCGTCCCAGCAGCAGTGAGGTCTTGTGACACTTTCGCCACCAGCCAAGCCCTGAATTTGGTGGATCGAGTGGTGTGGGATGGTCTGATAACGCAGAGCAACAACAGCAAACTGCATTAAACCATTATTAGTGGGATTTCACATTAAGCAACACTCAACTCTCCTCCCAACAACCAAACACCATCCACAAAATAAACCTCAAGCAGCTAGGAAAGAGCAGATAATAATGGTTGTCTCCATAAGGCGACAAAACGGTAATTCGGTAAATGCGCGTCTGTACAGCGTGTTAGGTGTGGTTTGCTCCTTTGGTTGCCGATTTTTTGTCTGGTTCAGGGAAGAAAGTACTCAAAATTTTACAAGTTTCATAAAAATATGCATTTCATCCAGTGTATGTATGTACGAATAAAAAAGAGGATTTGTTCTGATTGGTTGCCTTATTGAGATCAATTCTTAAAGTAAAATTCATGCTTGACATAAATAAAGTAGCGAATATTCGTCACAGTTTTATTTTACGGTTTTTTTTGGAATATGGAAAATTCTTACGAAAAAATCAACACCTCTCGCAACCTTCCAAACTTGCAACGTAGATATTTACCTACCCTTTAAATCCCTCATTTTTATGTTGCCACCAACCGGAAATTTGCTTTTGACATGATTTTTTCTTCCCCACCAGCAAAAAAAGCTAACTTCTTTCACTATCACCTCATACCAGCAGGTTTTGCATTGTAATGTCACACTTGAGGCAACGACGACGCGCTCTGTCAAAAAAGTGGATATTGTGACAACGTTACATTTTATTATTACCCTTTTCTCCCTCCTGACACGGTAGACACTAAGAGCTCATAACATATGAGCTCAGATACACCCCAAATTGTACGAAATGGACAACAAAACTGAAATATGAGACAATTTTTACCCGTGAAAGTAAGTGAAAGCTAAAATCAATTTGACGTAACAAACTGCTTTCTCCGTTTGTTTACAGTTACCAATTTGTCACCAATGCTTTATTGTGGTGTCGGGCTCTCGAGTCGTCAATCCGCCTCAATAATGAATGAATAGGCATTGAGCGACTCCAGCTTTCTTTTCTTGCTTTCTTCTTCTCCTGTGCTATCATTTACTTTACGTGGTGATGCTTTCTCCTCCAAAATATAGTGGATTAAGGACAAGAAAGAATACGAGGGAGCTCCGCCTTCTCATTTACTTCCATGATTTTCCAATTATCTCTCCTGGCATTGACAGGAAGAAGAATCTGCCTTCATTTACTCGCTCAGCTTTCCCCCTTCTTCGTCGTGACGAATGATCTCTGTCAGAGAAATGAGGGTAATTCCTTTCTTCTTTTACTACCCTTGGTGGATGGATGGATGGATAGTTGGTTGGTCGGGTCGGATTGGTTTTGGCTTTTAGACCAAAGCAAAGACGAAATGGGTAGGAAATGAGAGCAAACTTATTTCAGTTTATGGCTTTTTCAACTTTTTCCTGTGTCGTCGGAGTGAAGTGTTCTTACCGAATAAAAATGCAAATGCTGAGATGATTTTTTTTACATTTTGTGTAATCCTTTTTTAGGGGAAATGTCGCCGTATGTACATAGTTCAGTTTTTGGGGAGAATATTGATGGACTAGTACAAATATAAAATCATAGCTGGATGAAGACGTATGTATGCATTTAGATTAGTAATAAGGTTTAAAAAGAAAATTCCGTTTACGATGCTAACTTTTTTCTGTTTTATTAGGAAATTTGAGATTTCGTTTCGACTAGATTTTTTATCACTTGAATTTGCATGCAGACAATCAATATTCCTCGTTTGGTTGGATAAAATAGTGGATTTACGGTACAAAATATACGTGAATGTAAAGTAATCTTTTTAGAATTTAGGATAATTCACTTGATACGAATCACGTATTAATTATCATCGGGTTCGTTCTGAATCTCAAACACCCAGTAACCCGTGAATCGATTGTAGTTCAAAAACTTTCCCTTGAATCGTTCGCAGGCACGTTTGAGAACCTGTTCATAATTTTGATCCGGTATGAAATTCTCTCCGGTCAGATGAGTCGCCTGCTTGGGGAAGACGTTTCTCAGGGACACGATCGCCCTCCGATTTAGTCCGTGACCATGAGCAGGCTTGTTATGGTTGTTTGGATAAACTTCGAGTTGTTTGTGGGAGAAATGTACTGTTTTATTTACAGAGAAAAAGTCATAAATTTTAGACTTTACGCAATTTGCATATTTGTTTCATGTCAGCTCACGAATTGCATCGAGATTAAGTCCAGTAACGTTCAGTTCGCCAGGAAATGTGACTTCTCCATGGTCCATATGACCAACTTTGAAGTCACGCACGACAGTTTTTCTTGTGATGGGAGAGTACAAGTCGTCAAGTTCTTGTAACGATGGAATGCAGTAGCATTTTGCACTCCTCAATATCACTCCACACGCTGAACCATGACCAAAATTGGTTGCGTAGTTATTGTCACCACCCCCGATTCGCCGAGGTGGTCGATATACAGGAAGCATATCTTCTGAGAGGAGTCGCTGACTAAGACCGAGTCGCATCAAACCAGGGGACGGACTATTTCTGTGTAGAGTTACTAACGGATTGCTGGTTGAAGTCGAAGGTGCTTGTCTTTCGCGATAATTTAGTCTAGGCGATGACGAGTGGATGTCAAATGATGTGTCTATGAATCTGCGAGATGGATAAGAATTGTCTCCCACAGGTCTTTTCGTCCACCTTGGATTGACTGGACTTGTGAGTTTCTCGAGCAACGTCCTTCCAGTTATGGGGTCAATATCGTCATTATATTTTGGTGGACCACGCTCACACTTATTCCAGGCATCGTACCAAGCGTCATCGTTGACAGGTTGGTCAAATAAACCGACTTTGGGTGGCGGCTGGTTCATTTTCTTTCGGAGGTTAATCGTGTTATTGAAGTCTCCCGCCTTGAGGATTTCGACTTCATTTCGAAGCATATCCAACTCCATTTTGTCTGACATTGATAGAAATCTCCTCCCATTTTCGGCCGTTTGCTCTCCAGGGAGTTTTGTCACGGTGGGTTGCAAGTCTCTGTTGTATCCTATAGCACTGATCTGACCAGAATATAGGTTCCTGCCCCAGTCGAATACAGGACTTTGATATTTCGGATCTGTCGATAGGATGGAGGGACCTCTTCCTTCTTTCTGTAGGATGGACGTCCGAGTGTACTTTTCAGGAAATGAAGCCACTATATTTATATTTATTATAAGATGAATTTGTAGTTATCTGTGATTAATATTTTTCTCATGACATACTATCACTGTCCCAAGAAGTGGAACACTCCCTTTTAGGACTTATCCGCCCACTTTCATCCAACACGTACGGTACAAAAACAATTTCTGGGGAAAGTTGTTGTTGGTATGTTACCGGTAGAACCGTTTGTATAATCGGCTGCTGAGGTTGCAGGAGAAAAGGTTGTTGTTGCTGTTGACCGAATTGGTACTGAATTTGTTGAGGTTGTTGTTGCGTCTGAAACGGTTGTTGTACAAAAGCAGGTTGCTGCTGAACTACTTGCTGTTCGAAAACGTTAGGTTGACCACCAAAGTTACCTTGGAAGAGTGGTTGCGTCTGCTGCTGTAGATTATTGAAATTGAAACCCACTTGCGATGGCTGTGTCATTGGTGCAGATTGAGCCTGACCCCAAGGTAATATTTGACTTTGGCCGAATATCGGTGGAGAAGAGGGTTGTTGCTGGCCGAATAGTGTACTGAAAGTCGGATTGGGGGTGCATGGTTGGGCAAAAACTGCGGATTTAAAAGAAAATCATGTAAAAATTGTGGTCATAAAATTGTCAATTTTTGCAGCATTACATTGTGGAGTGGGAGTTGAGCTGAACATTTTGGAATTGGATGGGTGGAAAATGAGACTGTTGAACAACTAAAATTTAAGAGGCAAACATTCGAAAAAATTCTACACTGAAAGCAATTTCATAAAATTGTCGTTTAATAAAATCAATTCGAAATTTTAATTGAAGTCATTGCATTTTTCTTGACAATTAACCTTATAAAAACTAATTAATTTTGACCTGGATACCATTTAAAAACGGAATTTAAAATGGTTTCTATTGCTCTTGAGGGCGGACTTTCTGGGGTGCAAAATACCATTGAGACCGAGTTGTGGGGCGGTGATAAAATCAGTTGGGGACTGAATTAATGCAAACCGATTTTGAATATTCTGTTTATGCAGTTTTGATTTATTACGAACCAAGAACTGATTCGCGAACAATAATTAGAACATTATACACTTTTTGAACATGAAATTTCAATTATAAATCAACAATATAACTGAGCCAAATGGCACACACTATAAATTTTTGACATGACAGTGGGATTTGATTTTCATAGTAGTACAACAATTAACTAAACGAACAGTAAATCATCATCATTGATGACATTACTATCATGATTTTGGGATGCATTATATATTTCAAACAAGTTATTGTAATCGTAACGTGGTGAATTTTGTCCAGTGTTCTGTGACTCGTTGCGATCCGCTAGTGGCACTACTTGCTGCGATACCTGCTGCTGCGATAACTGCAACTATTTGTGAATACACTACATAAATTCTCAGCAAAGATAAACAGCATGTTCTCGACTTACCATTTCGTCATGATAAAATTTGAAACAGTTGAAGACGCTGCTACCAATGCACAAACGTTTCTCGCAAGCAAGGCACTTGAACTGCGTAATCGTCCTCTTCCCCAATTTTGTTTTGCAGTGGAAACAATCGGATTTGCTTGGGTAACCGTTTTCTTTCATAACTCGTTCTGGAATATGCATATTCGCTAAGGGTACTGAGACACGGCTTTGGGAAGGTCTTCCTCTTGGCTTCCGTGCTACGGGGAACTTCGTGAGAATGTTGTGGATTATTGATTATTGACCAGTATTCTTTATAAGATGATTTTTTAACAAGCGTCATGGCCAAAATAAGAGATAGAAAGCGCCAGATATCAGCAGCAGTGACTGGGGTCCAACCAATAAATGCACGGGGAGAGGTTCGCTTCACTTGCTCAGCGTATCTGTTCGACTCCACAGCTATCTTTTCGACCATGGAGTCATCAATGAATTTTCTGAGAATGTCTAGAGATGTTCCAAAGTGGTGGCGAAAATCATCCTTTATTTGATCATCTGGACCTTGGAAATTCTGCACGGGTGGACGAAATTCTTCATCCCAGTTTATGGTTTCATCCTAATAAGTAGAGCAAAGTCATAATCCGAGGAATGGTCACAAACGAAAAGAATATTAAACCTCGTCAATATCGCTGTCAGACTCGTCCTCAGCTTCAAAATCATCTTCTGAAGCAGCGTCGTAGTAGAGGTCGTCGTCATCACCTTCCGATATTTGCATAGCCATGATTTCCAAAAGTTGAGAGTACCTGTTGAAACGTGAAATAAATTTGAGTCGATATTCGAGGAATATTTAACATTTATGCACATACATATTACAACAAAATATACAACACTTACTGGATATTTTCCTATCTTTTCTGGAATTTTGGCTGGCTGTATGTTCAGCACGATGCAATTACTCCCCCAATTACAGCTCTCCCCTCAAAAATTGCAGTTCAAGCGTGAAGAAAGTCCAACGATAAATAAGGAGGAAAGAATGGAGCAGCTGAGAAAATTTTCTCCGTCACTTTATTTTTATTTTTTTCCTACACCTTATTGATGTAGCCCGGTCTCAACGGAATTCTGTAACCATACACCTTATTGGTGGAATCCGTCGTCAACGAGAAAAAGTTGGCCTACACCTTATTGGTGTAGTCCGTCGCCAAGGCGAAAAATTTGGCCTACACCTTATTGGTGTAGTCCGTCGCCAAGAGATCGAAATCGCCCTCCACCTTATTGGTGGAATCCGTTTTTAAAAGGTTAAAAGGTATGACGAGTTGTTTTGTTGTGGTGACAATTTCTACTCGATATAATTTATCAATTCATTTGACTTAACCTCACACTCAGGTCAGAATCATTCGAAGATTCGTAATGGCGTTATCAAGACGAATAATGGAAATAGTGCCAAGAGAAGAACCACTTTTGAAACGGTACAAAATATTAGTTTGGGGCCCGTCCTACTCATCGGCGATGGCATTAGACACGAAAAACAATTCGGTTTGTTGGCTTTATAAGATATGTGAACTATCAATACTCTGGTTGAATTGCTTATTTACTTTTTGTTGCAGGTCGTCTTCATCAATATCGCAACTCGTGAGTGTCGTATGACCAAGGTGAGGAAAGAGAAGAATATTCTATTGAAGTTAACTAGTGATAAAACAAACAAGTTCTTCCAACATACGCATATTGGACTTCCTGAGATACTGTAAGTTTCAATAAAAAGACGATTTGGTAAACTAGGCGAAATTAATTTTGTGATTATAGGGATTATAAAACTGTGAGGCAGAGGACAGCGTCTGCATCGGGAGAGACTGTGAATTACCTTGTTCTAAAAAATGCAGGCAAATCTTTGGAGATACTGCATGATCAAGAGAAAATGACATTTACTATATCGGAAATGAGCAAATTGGCCGTCCACCTCATTGACATTTTGGAATATGTTCATCATACAGGACTTATTCATGGAGATATCCATGCCAGAAATGTTGTTGTAGCAGGAGATCTAAGAACGGATGATTATGTACGACGTTCGACTCGAAGTTTCTTATTCATTATTTATTGATTGTAGGTTTCTTGTGAATATATTTGTCTTATTGTTAGAGGATTACCTTAATCGAGTTCAAAAATGGCGGACGATATAAGAGAGGAGAAGATCACATTGCTGAAATTTATCTAGATCGTGACGAGAACTCGTACAGATCATACTGTTCATCCAACATTTACGGATTAACCCAAAGGTATCCTGCTAATATTCCCAACGGAAGATAGATATTTCTTGAATTATAATTTGCTTGATTTTTCGTAACAGCCGAAAACATGATTTAGAAATGGTCGGACTGATGTTAATTGAACTAAGAGGAGGTCGTCTGCCTTGTCGTCAAGCGAAGGTGAAGAAAGGAACTCGAAAAGAACGATTGGCAATAATGGAAACGAGCCGATTTACAATGTTGAAAGATTCGTGCAAAGCGAGTTCATAGCTAAATTATGCGTCCCATTGTATCTGGTGTTCACATTACTGACAGCATTATTATAAATTTCAGAGACGCAAGCTTCCCAACGTGTTTTATAAATTTGTGGAATATTGTCAACATTTACACTTTGATCAAGACCCCGATTACACTCGTTGGAGATCGAAATTTTTGGAGCTTGTCTAAAACGTTACTCACAGAATGAGTTTATGCACTTAAACTATTCAGTCCTACTATTTTAACAGGCATGATGTTGCTCAGATCAGATTCGGTGAATAAAGTGCTGTTTTTAATTAGTTTTCAATTTTTCAGTTGTAGTCAACAATTTAATTTACTTCAAACCTCGCACGTATTTCATCATTCAGAGGACAGCGACTTTTGTTCACATCAATATTTCCTGGGTTTCAAGCCTCAATAATTAAAGATTGAAATTGCAATTGCATTTCATATGAATATAAAATACAATTTCCACAAATCTCGTCAAATAATTTTACTCAAAATGATGGATCCACCTCCCCAGGAACCACCTTCCGCGTTGTCTCCACCTCTCAACCCGGAAACTAAGACTCAAGCAAATATTCGTCTAACTCAGCTATTTCTAGACAGACTTAAAAAATTTACTATTTTAGCCTTTATAACTTTAATGGTACGAGCAACTTCATTAAAACCACATTTGAATCTTTCTTAATTCAATGCTTGCTAATATTCTCTTTGGTGTCATGTCACAACACAGATCTGCTCTTTCGCCTATGGCATCACTGGAATCATTTTATGGCTCCAATGGCCAGAGCTTAATCAATTGACGAATATGTACTCTGCATTTTTTGGCTTTGTCGTCGCCACCGTGCTAAATATTATCGCATGTGTTTGTGGACTTTCGACTTTCTCAGAAAACGAAGGAAATCGAATGGATCCAGGTCACTCCACCGCGGTATTAACTTTAATGTGACTCAGTTAACACTATGAAATTACTTAACTAATACTAATTGCATATATTTCAAGGTATGCATGCTTCTCGTGGGCAACATTTTTTTCACACTCCTGTCTCCCACATGCGGTCTGATGCCACGTGAAATTGACAGTCGAAAAAGAATGTTACTGGTTCCCATTCTAGATTGTTACAGTCTCAAACAAGACTTGAAGGACATTTCTGTGGTGAGCATGCATCTTAATAATTTTTACCATTTTAAAGTTATCAGTTTGGCATACGTGTGTTTGATTTAAATTAAAGCCTGAATGTGACCATTATGAAGACGCAGCACTTTGTCTCTACCTTATGTACCCCTTAATTCTGGTGGAATTGATCGTCCTTATTTCATATGGTTATCTCAAACGTCAACAACAGAAGGAGTTTGATGATAATGAGGACACGTTAAATTCGTACAATGGCGATGAGGACGACGATGATGACGATACAGTGATGAATAAGATTATTGGAGAAGAAAGCAATGCTCCCCTGATCACCTCTGGGGACATTGTAACAATTATTCCGACGCAATGTCCAGTCCAGCTAAAAACAAAACATGGGGTTTCACAGATCTACTGGGCCCCCGGCCCAGTGGCGACGATGGGAAGACCAGAAGGTCCAGTTATCAAGACTCAAAGCGCTCCGACGGTGGAGAAAAGAAAAGTATAATGAGAGGGATAACTATGTGCATATAATATGATCGTTATTATTTGACAGACTGTGGTAGTTAGCTGCAAGTTTAGGGCTACTTGCTTATCATTCTTCATCGGGTTTATATAAAATTGAATAAAATCAGTCGCACAACTACTATTAAAGCTCGTTTCCCAGGGTGTTAAAAAACAAGGCAGTCTATCCTGTGGCGTCTAATCAATATTAGTTTTTCATGAAAACACTAATGCATACTACTACATTTCTTTGGCCAACGCTCTTGCATTTTACTTTTTACACGGATTTATCCATATTCTCAAAATATGTCGTATGACGACGATGATGACGACGAGGAAGGAGGAATTGAAATTCAGGAAACCTCAACACCAAAGATGAATCAATTTCTTCACGACGTTAGTGATTGGTTATTGGTTAGTTGAAATATGATAAACTTGCTTACTTTGTCGGTGAAAGTGATGTGTTTTCCCATTGTATGAAATGTAGATTGCAACCATTGTCTTCCTACTGGTGTATGTAATCCTCTATCTATTTTACGAAATCGCCCTCGGAATGGCACACATTCGCTGGGTCTATGGCGCCTTCATGTTAGTTTGCCTTGTCGATATTGTAATGTATTTTATCATAAGGTTTGCAGTCGTAGGGGGCGAGACGACATGGTGTTTAGTTTATTTGGTGAGGACTATATTTTTTTCCTATTAGTTTTTCACATCATGTTAATTAATGCTATTTTATTTTCTAGGCAGGTCTCATTTTTGTCGCTGATTTCTTCGTAAATGTCGTTGCCCCAGCTTGTGTTCTAATTTCCTACCAACTCACACTAGAACATCCAAGTTCGGGGTCATCCTCACCTGTTGAAGGAAGTTCTGATACGGTCCCTGAAGATTGTACTGAAGCTCCTGGGGTACTATTGTTCAGTTAACCGATTTGGGAATTTTTCTATAAAATTTGCTAAAATGGTACATGCTTTGTTTCAGATTAAGTGCGGAGTTGTGAGATCAATTAGAACATCGATCTGGTGCATGTATCTACTTCTTTTGCCGAGACCACTAATTATTTATGGAATTGTTACTATTGTTCGAAAACGTCGACGACAACGATATTGATTAAATATCGAGAAATATTAAAATTTATTTAGAAATAATTGAATAGATTGACTTGAAGAATGATCTAAGACTATTTATTTTACGGATTTTTATAAATTACTGTAATGTATGTATGTATACAAGAAAACCAAAATATATAAAAGAGTGAAAAATCAAGAATTACCTGAAGTCATTTAAATAAGGTATTACATTCTCTACTCCTATCGATTGATCCAAGGGTGATGATGAGAGTAAAACAGTCTAATTAATAATGTTTCGAATTTGGAACTCATTCGGGTGGTGCATCTGATCAATAGTATCATTAGTTCCGTCGTTCAGGTTTGGAATTAAGGTGTGTTTGGTGGTAGTGTTTAGATTCGCGATATGTAATGTCGTTCCTGAAGTCCCGTGGCCTTTCCTCGTTAGATCCATTTCCGCTTTGCTGATTTGGATTTAAAGACCGACTTGTGCTTTCAACCGCATTGGCTGTAAATTCTGACGAAGGGGCAGCCCCTAAGCTTGTAACCTGTTCGTGTGGTTTCTCTGTTCGATTGGATACTTTTGAGAAAAAGTGTGGCTTAGTCGACTTATTCCAAGACCTCCGTTCATGTCTTGGTGAACTTTGCCTAAATTGTCTTCTTCTATCATTTCTACAATCATCGTTACGGCTGTAGTGGCCTCGATGAGGGGATCTAGATCTTGGTCGTCCAAAAGTATTACGACCAAAACCTCGATAACCTCTTCTATTACCTCTGAAATTATTTTTATATTTGTATGGCACACTGACGGGTCTCTCTTGGCGATTCATCTCTGTTGATGTATTTCTAGGTTGTGAAGGCTGACCGGTGCCACGAAATGCAGTGCTATTATGTATCTGTCCGTTTGGTCGAGACATTCTAGAATTTTGAGCAAACCGAGCTTGACCACGACGACCTGGAAAAGGTTGTCGATACTGGGTACGACTTGGCGCTGTATTATTGAATCTATAGTTCGGAAGATGGGGTGCTTGATTAGCTCGAATATCAGAGTTGGAATCGGGGTTATGTTGGTTATTATTGTTCTCTGTAACAATGTCGACAGAGTCTAGTGATAAATTGTGTTTTTGACATCGTCTAATCAGAGTATCTGCATCCAGACCAAATTCCTTTTGCATCGATAGCCTGTCATACACAATAATAGCGTAATTAATTGTATAATCATGATCTTTTTAATACAAATTTTCATACATTTTCATTTCAAATTCAGCTTTCATAATTTCCTGGACACGTTTCAACCAGAATGGAACCCATTCGCCAGCATAATCATAGTCGTCAGGATTTTTCCCTTCAGCTTCAACTTCGATACATCTTTGTTCCCAAAATTTTATCCACTCAACTTTTTTTGAAGGGTGAGAATCCGGGGAATTTATATATTTATCACGATCTGCATTATATTGTCCTGTAATTCTAATTTAGTAAAATATGGATTAAAATTGAAGCACTTAAAACATTGTACGTTATGACCATTAATCATTGACTAATTGATAGAGAAAAGAATTGTAAATAAATACCGGGTTTCATTTTGTCGCATTTGTAACCACTTCCTTTCCAATTCGGGTGTCCAAAAACCATTCGTCCTGAGACAAATCCTAGCCCGCAGTTGTTGATTATCTGGCTCCAAATCAAACACAGCCAAACTTGGCAAGCTCAACTTATCATCAATATCCTGAAGTTGAATTACTTCTGGGTGGTTCATATTGATAACTGCCCTAGGACCATCTGATCCGTCGATGTCGTTTATTCCGGCACTAATTTCTTGGTTAACAAGCTTGGAGCTTCTTGGATCCTTCGCAACATCTGTAGAGAAATAAAATTTGCACTATTTTACTAAATTATTTTATTTTTTATTATTGAACTAAAAGTAATGAATTTTCAATTACCTAGAGTTGGGATTATAAGATTGTCGCCAGTAGAGTACTTGGTTAACTTTGCTACAAATATTTTTTTGGGCTGAACCTTTACTATACTTTCTTCGTATTTTGCAAAATTTAGAGCTATAGTAAATTTGAAACAATTTTAATTAAATGACTAAATCAATCAAAGGTATGTTTCAGGTTGGACATAATATTTGTTATTGGACGCACAGTAGTTGCGTAATTCATTCTTGTGAGCCTTCCCACGAATATGTTTTCCCAATGCGCGATTTCCTTCCAACCTTTTTTTGCAGATATGGCACTTTCCCTGAAATTTTGATTGATTACCAAAATGTTAATAAATTTATTAAGAGTGATTAAGACAATGAAATAAACCTCAAAGTTGGACTTGTCGTAATTGCAACCAGGTGTTGCAACTATAAAATTTTTGAAGAAATATTTGTCGCCACTATTTTCATACTCAGATACTCGCCGAATTTTTGCTTCTAATGTTGCAGAACCCTGTCAATAGAGCAATAAAAGTGATAGGATTATTTTCGCATTTGAGCTTTTATTTTCAATCGAGTAATCGACAAAAAAGGAGCAAACTTGCCGCATATTCATCCAATTTATCAGCATCCAAGAATTTAGGCTCCTTCTGAGGACGAGTTTCGGTTTGAGTGCCGTCAGGATCACTGACACATCCGATGGAACATGCATCGTCGTCCTGATGGTCTTTAGGATTGTACCAATCTTCATAGATTTTGTGGTCGTAATGTTCCGGGTGATACTTCATTTCGTCGGGAGGGTCCTCTTCTTCTTTAAGCAACCACCAGCCGATTTTTCGAATGGTATACTCGGTCAATTCTGATGCCACGCTTGCAGGATATTGGACTGCCGTATTTGATCGTAACAATTTATCTACTTCCTGTGCAACCAGTCCTTGGTCTACTGTTGTTTGCTGCCTATTGTTGTATGAATATGGAGTCTCGGAAAATTTTGGTATTTTCTGCTCAACATTTGGTTCAGCCAATAATTTTGGCTGAGCAGGCTTAATTTGTTGCAGCAAATTTTGAGTAGGAGCATGCTTAATTTGTTGCAGCAAAGGGGCTGGAGTGGGAGTAGGAGCTTTGAACTTTAGAGTAGGAGCAGGTGCATGTGGTCTTGGAATAATTTTTGTAACAATAACTTCAGGTTTGTGACTGACCTTTTGATTATTAGTACTACCCGTATTCTTTAATGCAGTATTAGGACCAGAATTTTTCGATTTACTAAGATCCTTAGTCATTTGATTTTTCTGCTCATTCTTTTCCCCAAGTTGCTGAAAACTTTTTTGGCGTTGATCTTTCTTCAATACCGTATTTTCAAGTTTTGTGTTGTGAGATTTTGTAATAAGCTTGTTGATGTGCGTTTGTTGTGCACTCCTGTTTGGAATAACAGGATCACTTGTGACTTCACGTCCAGCTTCGTACTTAGCTCGTTTTTTAGATTTATCATCTCTCTTATCTCTCTCATCTCTCTTTCGGTTTTTAGAGTAGAGCTTTTTCAAGACAGGTTTAAACAACTTTTTGCGTTTGAGTTTCTCCTGACTCGCGATTTCCTCTCGTTTCTGTTTTGGTATTGTAATTTGTCGTTCTAGTGGAATAACATCCGATTTGGATGAATGGCCTTTAGACGGATCAGAGAAAACTGTTTTCAATCCGACAAGATCCACGCAGAGGACTGAGACATTGCTCATTATAAATTTCTTTCCATTTTGTATAAAGTTAAAATTCTCTGGAGGTTTCAATTTTTTTCCTGGTTCAACATTTGCATTTGCGCTATTGTAGAAACTAAACGGTTTTATTTTGGAATTGCGGTGGTTCGACGATGTTTGATGTGGCGGACGAGTCGAATCGTCTTTCGTATCGAATATTTTTTTCTTTTTCTGTTGTGCTGAGTCACCACCCTCATTATTACTTTTGAACACTTTCCCTTTTTGGGGAAATACTGGTCCCATTTGTCCGAGATAATATGGGTGAACCTTTGGATCGCTTTTTTCGGTCAAAAGGTTCCCATCGTCTTTGGGCGTCTTTTTCTCAATTTGATTCATTTTGATTTCATCGATTTCAGGATTGTTGTTTTGAGAGGGATGAACACGTTTAGTGGCGGTTGATGTATGAGGAGCATCCGAATCACTGCTACTACCGGAACTAACGACGCGTCGTCTTTTCTTATGACCGTGTGTTTTCTTTGTATTTTTTTCTTTCTCGACCTCAGATGAAAATGGATGGTTATCTTTCGAGGAATACTGTTTTGACTTATCATTTTGTTCAGTCAGAGTTTCATGAAGATCAGCCGTGTCTTGCTTTGAGTCTTCATTCTCCTTCTTCTCGATGGAACTGCTCGGATCCTGATGATGTACATCGTGACGTACTACCTACGTTATATTTAAATAGTGAAAAATATAGTAATAGTATTCAAAAATAGTAAAGATCACGTACTTGCTGTGGAATTTCCATTCGTTTAAATGCCTCAAATAAATCTGGACTAATTGTTAATTTATTATTATTTTAGGTTTTTTAATTTCAAATTTTTATTTTAAAGGTAGATACCAAGCTAGCCGGCACATTTCAGATTGCAGGAAGACCTTAATTTCTTCTTCATCCATGTCGCAGTCGTTCCCTGAGAGTTCCCTTATTTGTTTGTACATCTCTTCCAAACTGTACTTGCATTCAGTTGAAATGTGCAAATTATTGGTGGATTGTTGTCCATCTTTGTCGACGTCAATCGTGTCGTCCACCTCCATTGCTTCCATCAAACGCCTGGAACAAATAAAGTTAAAAGTAATATAATTCAAAGTTTATTTATATGATGAACACTTCTCATCGACTTTTTACTTACCAGAATCAAAAGAATGACGATCTTGATTCCGTATTGCTCCGATTCCAAATATTTTCTTTAGTTTTCTAAGAAAATTCTATTGCTTTCAAAGTTGCTAGACAACTTCAGTAGTACATATACAAATATGTGTCGGACCGGACTGGAAGAAAATATATATTGTATGTAACGGACAAATTTGATTACATTTACATTTGTTAAACTGTCATTAAATAAAATGTATGGTAGTATTAAATATAATAAATTTCACCAAGTTTACTTTAGTAACTAGAGTCTAGTTAGTTGTATGTAATGTGTAATGGCTGGTTGTCAAATTGAGTTTGCTTGCTTGTTATATTTTGTTCTACGCAAGCAAACACATTCATTAAATATACAAATACAATTCTTCAAGAATTGTATTCTTGTTTGCCAAGAACAAATACCAGCAGGCATTTGTAAAATTTTTGAAAAATATTAAAACCAAGAAATTGACAGTCTCCACTACTGATTATTTGATGAAAGATTATTTTATATTTAGAAATTGACAGTCTCCACTACTGATTATTTGATGAAAGATTATTTTATATTTAGAAATTGACAGTCTCCACTACTGATTATTTGATGAAAGATTATTTTATATTTAGAAATTGACAGTCTCCACTACTGATTATTTGATGAAAGATTATTTTATATTTATTACTCAACAATTAAATTTAAGGACAGCTGCTGACTGCTGACAAGTTGAAGGGAAAACGGGAGCATCTTTATGACTTTAGTTTAGGACTCCTAAACTAAAGTAGGAGCGAGAAATGTGAGACAGAGGAATTTTGACTGTGCATAATAAATATTTGGCATATAATAATTAGCATAGGTATTTTCGCTTATAAAATGACCAAATTACTTGGATGACTTTCAAATCTTTATATCTCGTACAATTAGTGAGGTAACCTTTAGCATTACACTGGATCGCAGGCTGCAATCTTGAGTCTCAAGATCTTATCATGATCGCGAATAATTGCGATGACACTTTGCCGTCATTCAAGATTGCTTGACAATTTATCATAATACAAGGGTACGACAGTTGCTTCGATAGCCTCAAAAACCTCCATTTTTGAAGTGCTAATTATTTGGGCCGTCGCTAACGGTAATTAAAGCACAAAAATTTCTAACAGAACTTTATTTGACTGTGAAGAGACGAAAGTGGTGTTTATCAAGATTCCTAAACTTTTTAGCTTGTTTCCGTGGAAGAAATGTATTAGGATAATGTAATGAGGTTGTCCAAGGACGGGCCGTGTTTTAAAAATTATTAAAAATTTGCGAGTTGGGGACAGGTACACATTTTTTGGCGTTGTCACCCGTTGTTGGGTGAGTGAGAAATTATTTTTCTGTGGAGTTTTTCATTTCTAACTCGAACCCATATGTATGTGATATTGATGACCATTTCTGCCATTAATTAATTAATGCCATTAATGCCATTTCGAAGCTATGAATTTCTGCCATTGACCACGAAAAAAGCCTGTTTTGACTCGTTCAAACCCTCACCAAAAATCCAATTTTACTCGGATTATGGGAATTCTTGCACCACTATACTCCCAGATAGTTTTCTTAGCCGAATATCAAGCTCGACTTTTTTAAAATTTTGATTTTTCCGAAAAGATACTCCTGATGTAAAAATTTTTCAAATCTGAAATCTGCATGCACTGGACTACATACAACTTTCTGAAACGATTTTCTTCTAAAAATTTGGAAATATACTAAATTGTGGAGGTCACAAGTGGTCAAGATCACATGTGCAATCGAGTTAGAAATGAAAAACTCAACAGAAAAATAATTTCTCACTCACCCAACAACGGGTGACAACGCCAAAAAATGTGTGCCTGTCCCCAACTCGCAAATTTTTAATAATTTTTAAAACACGGTCTATCCTTGGACAACCTCATTACATAATTCGAATACATTCACTCCACGGAAACATACTAAAAAGTCTAGGAATCTTGGGTGTTTATGCTTCACGTCATCGTCACGTCCTCCTTCAAATCCGATTTTTTGATTGGCTGAACCAAATTATCACTACGACAATTAAAAATTTTAACCAATCAAAAAATCGGATTTGGAGGAGGACGTAACGATGACGTGAAGCATAAATGCACCTGAAGTTGCAGTTGGCATGCAGATTATTACAAAAACTAGCGTATAGCCCGTCCAAGGACGGGTCCTAGAATGTATCTACATACATAAAACGTCTTTGTTGTCGGTATTATTTTATAAGTAATTTTTGCAGAAGCGTTTGCAGGATATCATATCCTCCCAGGGCAGGGGACGGGGACCCCCTTCTGCGTGCTGCCCCACAGGCTTTCTTTGTTTTATTAAGAAAGCACGGACGGTACATTTGTCTGAGCCACCGCTAGCTCAAATTGACTTGAATTATTGACAATCCGGGTCTAATTGCTTTGCAAATATTTCTTCATAGACCACATTTTTGGTAAAAACTATCTGAGCCCTCAATTAATTTTCCCTGTTCTGGGCCGTCTATTATCTTAATTTTTGCATCTGCAAAGCGTCGCACTCTTGATAAGGCAACATATAATTGACCATGGCTAAAAACTGGTTCAGGGAGATATACTCCGACCTTGTCTAAAGTTTGCCCTTGAGATTTATTAATTGTCATTGCAAACGCCAATTTAATTGGGAACTGCCTCCTTCGTAAAACGAATGGAAAATCTGCATTTGCAGTGGACAAATCAATTCTTGGAATGAATACAATTTGTTGCTGTGCAGACCCTGTAAGCACTTTTGCAATTATTAAATTGGGCTTCAAGTCTTCAACAATTAGACGGGTGCCATTACATAGTCCTCGTTTAGTATTTAAGTTTCTAAGGAGCATAATATTGCTGCCCTTTTTAAGATTTAACTTGTGGACAGGCATTCCAGATGGCGTTAAACCATTTAGAAATTCAACAGGATAATGTTGTCTATCCTCTGCACTTTCATCATCCACGGAATCCGTACTGAAATAAGTTACCGAATTTCCTTCTAGAATATTTAAAATTTCTTCATTTATGTTGTCAACGTCCGTGTTTTTTGGACACAAAATTGCCATTTTTGAAAAGTTGGCAACATTGGCAACCGTAAGACGTTCTCCGTATATTTCATAAATTATTGATTCCCGACAAATAAGTTGTTCTGGGATTTCAATTGTATACTTAGGGAGGCCAAGAGGAGTTTCTAATGTGCCATCTCCCAATTTTAGTAGCCAATCACTATAGCTTTTGTCTACAGACCTTACATTACTCAGTAAGTGTAGAATTTTGACTTTTCGCCATAAGCTGTTAAATTTCAAACTCGCTTCTACAATGGCAGATCTACTTGCATGAGGAACTACGGGTAACGTTTGTCGAAAGTCTCCTCCTAATAGAAGGACTTTACCGCCAAGTGGCTTTTGATTATTCATGACTTCTTTTAGAAATTTGTCAACTGCTGCTAATGCAAGACTTGGGGCCATTGTAGCTTCATCCCAGATGAGCAATTTTGCTTGTCGAAATAACTCAGCATCTGCTGAGTTCGATCGAATTGGTGATGTTGTTGTGTCATCTATAGGAATGCGGAATTTAAACTGCGAATGGTAAGTTCGTCCACCATCCAGCAAATTGGCTGCAATTCCGGTTGATGCCATAGGTAATGCAATATTTCCTTCACCACGCACTGTGGAAAGTATAGTCTTGTATACGTGTGTTTTCCCACTTCCACCAACCCCATCCATAAAGAATATTCTATGGGGAAGGTTTTCATTTTCGGCAACATTTAATACTGTATCGAAAGCATTTCGTTGCTCATCGTTAAGAGTATCTTGCAATGCGTCACCTTTTTGTTTCTCTGCAAGTACATCAAAATACTCGTCCGCAGCCGCACGCATATTGGCTGGTGGAGACGGCAAGCCAAAGTCTACGCATTTCTTGTAGCTCAAGATAAGAATTGCTTGAATTTCTACTATAGCAAGATTTGTACAATGCTGGCAATTATCTGTGTGATTGTGCCTTGCATCTCTTGCAAAATCTTCATACAAATCGGATTTGTATTTTTCAAAAAGTTCCAAAGCGTTAGGAGGAACTGCAAACACGCAGATATACGCAAATAAGTCTCTCATTTGCCAAGGCATTTTCCAAATTGCTGCATCGGTTAATGCAAAGTCCCAAGTAGCATCATCACTAAATATGCCACTTTTTTGGGCTGCTTCTTTGAAGGTTGGATAGATTACATCTTCCACAGTTCTAAGATCTTCAAAGGAAGTAACCCCTCGCTTATGAAGCAACAGTAGTCTTAGGCAATATTTTTCTGCGTCGGTAGATAAATTAACAGGATACATTCTACCGATTGTATTATTTGTCTCTCTTTGACGTGGTTTCCAGACTCCACTTACTTTATTAAAGACATAATGTTCAGGGATATCGGCATATAAATAAAGCCTTGCATCTTCATCTGTATCGTTTAATTTAAACCAAGCCGTCAGCATAGTTTCTTTTGATCCAGCCCTTTCGGCCGCAGCTTCTACATTATCTGCATTGAAGTACACAGTTTGTTCACTCGGAAGATGTACTGGCAGTCTATAGATTGTATGTGACTGCTCATGCATAGAATTGCCAAAAAGTCGCCAGGCAGCTTCTGGAGCACTTATGTACCTTGAGTCCATAAAAGTTTTAATTTCATCATGATTAAGGACGTCTTGTTCAGAGATAGCAATATTTGCACAGTCATGTCCTTTATACACGTATTTGAAAAGGTACTTGACACTTTTTACAGATGCACAGCTTTCTACATTAATGTGACAATTATATTTCAAGCTCATATATGGATTATATGGGACAATCCAAGAGTTGTCAATCTGTCTGCCATTTACATCAGTTTGGCCAGTATTTCGTCTACGATATTTTGGATAACCATCGCAGTTTACCAAAGTTTCATTTTGGAATGGCTTTGGAAATTTTTTTGTACATTTTCCGTCAGGTCCCGTACATGGTGAGTTTAGATTTGCCGAACCACATGGGCCGTGTACCATATGCTTTGCTACAACTGCATGTAACCGAGGATATTCATTAATATCTGGTATTTCAGCGGATATAAGCTGATCAAGTTTTTCGGCATCCACAGGACCGTCATTTTTAACCATTAAAAGAATGTGGGCATGCGGAAGTCCCCTCTTTTGAAATTCAATTACATGAACTTTTGCTGTTAAAATGCCAAGTATATGTTTCTTGGAAATATCATCCAACAATTCTTTTAGCTTTAGGTTAAAGACCCTGGTTACTAAATCGGGTCTAAATTCCGCTCTTTGGCCATATTGAAGGTTATCTGTTATTTCGGGTCATAGTTACAAAGAAATCAGGCTTTCCAAATTTCCTCACAATTGCCATAGCATCTTGGTAATTTTGGGCCATATTTCTTGGACTTCCTATGAAAGAAGAAGGCAGTATAACCGCTCTTCCAGGTATTAGTCCTTGGTCATTGGCTGCATTATGGATATAATCCATGAGCCCAGCATATTGTTCCGCACGTTTGAAGTCTCCTTGCGACTCTTGACGTTATTTGCAATTTTACTTCTCTTATTTTGACTATTTCTTTCTCGTTCAAGGGAACGTTGCCCTTCAGATAGACTTGCAACTCGGTTTCGCTCATTTTCTGCATTTTTTGCTCGCTCATGGGAACGTTGTTCATCTGAGAGATTTGCGATTCGGTTTCTCTTATTTATTACATTATTTTCTCGTTCAAGTGATCGTTGCTCTTCAGATAGACTTGCAACTCGGTTTCGCTCATTCTCTGCATTCTTCCTTCGTTCAAGGGAACGTTGTTCTTCCGAGAGACCTGCAATTCGGTTTCTCTTATTTTCTGCATTCCTTTCTTGCTCTTCTAAACGTTGTTCTTCTGAACGGTTTGCACGCCACCTGCGCTTATTTTCAGTATTTCGTTTTTTCGCTTCAGCCTCTTCTTCTTGAGTCCTTTGCCCTTTTGGTGGCATTGTTCAATTTGTTACAATTTAATACGGCACCCTATAGCATATAACATATTACAGTAATTTCTTACGGTACCCCGTAATTTACTACGACAGCGCGTAATTTATTGACACTTTGGCCTTTATTTTACGGCACTTTGGCCTTGATGTTACGGCACTTTGGCCTTTATTTTACGGCACTTTGGCCTTGATTTACGGCACTTTGGCCTTGATTTACGGCACTTTGGCCTTGATTTACGGCACTTTGGCCTTTATTTTACGGCACTTTGGCCTTTATTTTACGGCACTTTGGCCTTTATCGGCGTAAACAATACTACCCCGAGGGGTAATATGTTTGTAAATGTACAATGTATATGTGTGTATATATAATGTATGCGTGTATGTATGTATAATGTATGTATATATAATGTATGCGTGTATGTATGTATAATGTATGTATATATAATGTATGCGTGTATGTATGTATAATGTATGTATATATAATGTATGCGTGTATGTATGTATAATGTATGTATGTATGTAGTTATTTATTTTGTTGGGTTGTGGTTGGTTTTAAGTGGGAGGAGGAGGTGGGCGTGAAACTTGGAGGACTTGTGGATAAATGTGTTGTTGTCGGTCTGTTGATCAGATCCGACTGAGCGAGAAGAAGAGAGTACCGCGGTGGCCAGTCACGATGGTTCAGTGGTGGGGCGAGTTGCATTGCTGGAAGACGGACCCAGGGATCATACTAACACTTTATTATTAGTGATTATCACATAGTGGCAGTAGCGATGGGTTCCCAAACGCTTCACTCTCTGATTGACAAGAGTTAAGTACATGAATTTATGTCAACTTTTAATTTATTCATAAATTACTACTAAACCCAGCCTTATATTTGCAGCTTTATAATTTTACATGTTATTTTAACATAATTAATTGGCCCTGTGTCCCTTACCATGATGCCCGCAATCGAAAAACTGACCTCAGATTCGAAATCAGCGACCAAAAACTATAAGAATCGACATTTACCCAACCTCAACAACGTTGAAATAATTAATTATTAATGATGAATTATTTGTAACAATTGTAAACACGGAACATGTGAGGCCGCTTATCTCAGGTGATATTAATATACATATGCTATTAATAGCATCCAGTCATACATTATGACTGGGTGCTATTTATAGCAGAACTTTCACCGCCCTCCAGAGGGTATAAAAGGAGCTGCACCAGAAATTTTTGTCAGTCTGCGGGAGGCGCTCGTGGGGGACGGACGAATCCCTGGGTGAGCTCCCCATTACAGCTGCGCCCCTGGACCGCCCTGCCTCTCTGGGGAGTCGGGTCCACCCGTGGTTTGTCCCACAGCCCCGACTCTCTTCCCGTTGGAGGGGTGGACCGGGGGAGCAACGCTGCAAGGGGAGAGCCTTACGGGAAGGTCCCCCCTCCAAGCTCCTCCCACCAAGCAGGCTCACCGGGTGGGGAGCCGATGGGGCTTGCCAAAAGTGCGGGTGGCGCTTGGCAAGTGAGAGGGGCTCTCTACCTCCAACCCTTGGGTGACCGAGCTCTTTAGCTTGCACTCCCCTTGGGGCCGGCCGGGTTCCCGAGTTCGAAGCCTTAATGGGGGCCGATTTACGGGTGCGCTCCCACCTCGTAAGGCGAGGGTCAGACGGGCCCCCTAGGGGAACGCGGTTGCAGAGGCGGCGACGTGGGCAGGGCTTTCCCGGCCGGTGGAGGTAGACGTCCGCGGACGCATTCGGGCGTCCGCGGGGGCCGACCCGCGTGGAGCACAAGGGAGCGACGTCCTCGTCGTGTGCTCTGGAAACGCCCTTCTTAGGGCGGCTAACAGCTCCCCCTCCTTATAAATGAATGGCTTGGCGACAATCTTTGTCGCCATGCCATAATTTCGCCATTTATCGTCCGATTTGCATGAAATTTGGAACAATGCTGCTTATTGGTGTTGTTGACATGTCGCAATGTCCCACCCGCCCCCACCCCCTTGTTTTCGACAGATTTCGTCGCCATGCCATAATTTCGCCATTTCTCGTCCGATTTCCATCAAATTTAGACAGACGATTCTAATTGGTGTTGTCGACACGTCGCAATGCTCCAAAAAAAGCCACCCCCTTCTTTTCGCCAAATATCGAGACTTCTTTTTGGTGTTATCGACATGTCGCAAGGTCACACTCATCGCCACCACCTTGTTTTCGCCAAATTGCGTCGCCATGCCATAACTTCGCCATTTTTTGTCCGATTTCCATCAAACTTCGACAGAGACTTCTTTTTGGTGGTATCGACATGTCGCAAGGTCACACTCATCGCCACCACCTTGTTTTCGCCAAATTTCGTCGCCATGCCATAACTTCGCCATTTTTTGTCCGATTTCCATCAAACTTCGACAGAGACTTCTTTTTGGTGGTATCGACATGTCGCAAGGTCACACTCATCGCCACCACCTTGTTTTCGCCAAATTTCGTCGCCATGCCATAACTTCGCCATTTTTCGTCCGATTTCCATCAAACTTCGACAGAGACTTCTTTTTGGTGGTATCGACATGTCGCAAAGTCACACCCGCCGCCACCACCTTGTTTTCGACAAATTTCGTCGCCATGTCGTAATTTCGCCATTTCTCGTCCGATTTGCATGAAATTTGGCACAACACTTCTTTTTGGTGTTATCGACATGTCGCAATGCCCCAACCAGAGCCACCACCTTGTTTTCGCCAAATTTCGTCGCCATGCCATAATTTCGCCATTTCTCGTCCGATTTGCATGAAATTTGGAACAATGGTTCTTATTGGTGTTGTCGACAAGGTCCCATTCATGATCATACCCATCCTCAAATTGACAGGTACAGGAAGTCTATCCTTCAGACAAGCAACGTCAATCGGTGCACAACCGGCAATGTTGTGCAGATAAAGATCCATTGTCTCCTTAATCTGCCTTTGAATCACCACTGAAGTCGTCTAATCTGATCCACCACTATGATTGAAAAATTGTCCGGGCTGTGCATATTGAGCAATTTGTACGAGTACTTCCTATTGATCATCTATGGACGATCCGGATAGCACCATGATCCTTATCAAGCAACATTTCAGTAATCAGTCGTCGTTGCTAAAACAAGAAAGAAAAGAAATGGTGATATTTAACTCCAGTTACAAACTGAAGAATTATTTTTTAGCATTATGATAAAGTGTTAAAGTTAAACTATCAAAGACAACTTGACCTTTTGATCCACCTACCGCGTATTATTTTCTTCCTTCCCTAACAAATCAAGTTTTATGTTCCTTCAATTTTTTGTCGACAGGCTCGTAAAAACCCTTCGATAATCATTTTTAGCCCGAGTCAGGGCTTATGGAACCGTCATGTCCGTCCGTCCGTCCGTCCGTCCGTCTGTCCGGCACGATAGAGCGAAAACGGCTGAACCGATTGACTTGAAATTTTTACCATATGCTTATTGGACAAAGTTAGGAAACGAGTTCGTAGATGGGCGAAATCGGTCAAGTGGTTGACCAGTGGGGGTCATCTAGGTGGGTGGGGTATTATGCACCAAAATTTCAAAATTGTCGTAGAAGGCTGAAATTGGGTACAGAGGTTGCTAGTGGCTCCTAATAGATAAAAATGACTTCAAGTTGGAAAAATTTTTATCTTGAGGGACCCTAGGGGGTGACCCATACGGATTTTTCAAAATCGCCATAACAAGCCGAAATTTGGTAGAGAGGTTGCTAATGGGTCTTAATAGAAGAATATGACATGAAATTGGTAAAATTCATATCTGGAGCGACCCTATGGGATGACCCATACCGATTTTTAGAAATTGTTTTAAAAAGATGAACTCCGGCACGGTGATAGTTAAAGGCTTCGTATTAAATAATATGAAGTTAAAAGTGAGTAAATTGCAACCAGAGTGACCCTGAAGGCTGACCCATACCGTTAAAACTTGTTATTTCCATCCGAAATTTGCCATGGAGGCCAACAACCACTTCTGGATTTAGAAAATTAGTTCCTAACTGAAAATTTAGAAGCGGAGCCTGACTTAACGAGTCAGGGACTCTGTCCCTGACTCGGGCTATATAGAGTCTGCACTGTAGGTTTTTTTAATTAGAAAATGCAGTTTTCTCATTTTCTTCCAGCAGTCTTTCAGTGAGGAGAAAATACATTTTGGTCTTTTCTCCTCACTAACTTTGAGTGCAAGATTGCTTGACAATTTATCATAATACATCCATGATTAAAAAATTAATTCTAGAATCGAGAGCACGAAATGTGAGTGTTGACAATTTTTGTGCGGTTTGTTTCCGGGCGACAGTTTGTGCGACGCACACTGGTTCCAAAAGGTACCAGGGTTTTCGAAAATTGAAGTTTTTTAGGCGTTGAAGTAATTGTCGCAACCTTGTAATTATTACTGAAGTTGTCAAGCAACTTCGGATTACGATGGACTTGAAGTACAAGGTTGGTTCAATGCATATGATAATTTTGCACCACGACCACACTCACAAATTGTGAATCACAATCAGTCATGGAGGGGACAGCAACCAATTACAATGTCGTCAATGTCAAAAACTATCCGATCGGTACAGATCCGACCTCTGCAATTTCACAAGGCGAAGAATTTCCGGATCGAAGGAGGTCCTTTAAAATTCCACGACTCCCACAAGCTTACATTGGATATGCCACGAAACGGTTCACCTTCATCCCCCTGTCCTTGTTACTTGTACAAAAATTCAGCTTGCATATCTATTCAAAATTTTGGACTTAATCAATATTGAAATAATGATTTAATTTGCATCTAAATTATATGTAGTTGACATCAATCATTCTGGGTCTGGGCTACGTTTTCATGATTATTCGTCATCGTGTCATCATCGACGACCTTGACATCGAAATGGGAATTTTGCTCAGTTTTCTTCTCTGTCTCATTGACGGATTAGCGTCCGTAATTGGCCTGAACGTTTTGAATAATGCGATTGTTTCTCCAGGAAAACTATTCTTGGTGAAGTAGCAAAATTTATATGCATGCGATGATGGTTTAACATGATATTTATTATTTTCGAACATATGTAGCTTCATGCCACGATGTTCATTGGAATCGTCATTCACATGTTTGTCCCCGTCTATGAATTTCTACCCGATCGACGCCACATTCGGAAAGATGCGAAACCTACACGACATCAGGTAGAATTTCATATTTCGTCAATTATTTCGTCAATTTTTACGTCTCCGTGTTAATAAATATTGCCATATATTTGAATTCAATACACTAATTATCATGACAAAATAGTTCCCTGTGGAGTATTGGGCTTGTCGCGAAGTCAGCGATACCAGCCAATATGAACGAAAGGTATTGCATAAGAACTAGATCATCTATGTATTATATCATTGATTGCATATCGGGAGAAAGGGTAGGGATTTTAAAATATTTATTATTGCAGAGAGCATACATTGGATTCTGCAGCGATGTAAATAAAATGGGCAACATATTTTGGAGTACTTTAGTCCTCTTCGGATTCCTCTTACTCGCCTGGCGAATAGTGCTCTGTCGACGCCCAACTCCCGTGCACCCCGATATAAGCAACAGCGGTCAATTGAGAGATATGCGAAAAAGCCGTAGAAGACAAAAGTTGTCATCGATTTACAGAACGTGGGAGGTAATACTTTAAAATTTACAAAGAAAATATGTATGATTTAGCCATTCGATTTGATTTCAATAGGAAGCTAGTAACATGCAACAAAAGCCATATTTTGCACACTATCCTCGAAGTGATCAACAACCAATAGATGAAAATGCAAATCAAGGACCGTTCGTTCTTGTCGATGTACTTCCGTCCAGTGTACCTCAAGGGATTGGTGATATTAATAATGATAAAAAATAATCTTATATTTACGATTAAATATTATTTCTGTTAAGATAAGTCGCATCGACTATTTATAACAAACAACAAGTCACTGCGGACATTTCTTGTGTAAATTGGAATTCTTATTCGTATTCATATTAGTTGCTTTCAATGGTTAGACAGGCATGTGGCGATTGCTCAACGATTATCTTTGATGGTGACGAAGTCCGATAACCAGTGACATCCATAAGATGAAGACATGATGATGATTATTTATGCTGGCTCCTGTTCCCTGTCAAAGTCCTTAAAGTTTTGGATTCAAACAAAAATACATATTACAATCTTTAGCCTTTGTCACGTTTCATAAACTATTCCTTCACCTGTATTTCGCCGATATTGAACTGGGCAACGCCGTGAATGTGATCATATCCAATGTATGTGCACCCCTTCTTTAGTTCACACGCTCTCTGTACAGAGGTCCAGTAATTGAAGACGCGGGTATCGCGATTATCCGTGAGAATTCGACCAGTCCTGTCCTTCGGCCAAATGTTCTTGTTTACAACTCGTGTGGGGACGGGAAAGTTGAAATCAAAGTTTACCGTGCCCTTGTCAGCATCCCACTAAATTAGCATATTTAATTTTAACTATCTACTTTAGGATACTCTCAAGTTTTAAATTGCAACAGAACTTACCAGGTTATCTAAATCTATCCCATACACGTCAGCATTTCCACAGAAAGTCATATTGCCTAGATCTTCATGAGTCACGATGAAATTGTTGACCATACATGTTCCGCCTTTTGTGATTCTGTTCAATTCATCAATATTTGGAATTGATGAAATTTTCAAATTTTTGCAATTAACTCGGCTCGCGTTTCGATTCAAAAGCATGTCTTCCAAGGTTTGTTTAGCAGCAAGCGGAATGAGAGGGGCCCTCGGTGCAGGGCAGGGTTGTACTTGATTGTACTGCTTTCCAACTCTTTTCGGTCGTGGTGGGGCGTAGACATTTGCCAAAAAATTTGTCCACACAGGACCACCCACCACTGTCGTGACTTTGTCGAGAGCTTCTGGAACAAGTGCGACTAATGGAATGAGTTGCGAAGTCCTTGGGTTTGCTGGGCGTGCTGGTAGACGGTGAGTTCCAGGACGGTGACCTTCAGGACGAGGTGGACCATCAAGACTGACAGGTTCCATGGTTTACTTTGGCCAGATAAAGTGTATTTTATATTTTGACAATGTGTTTGGGTTTAAATTTTGAGACCAAAAGTCAGATAATGCTCAGTCACGGTGTGAATATGACAAATGAAGCACAAAAATTTCACTACAAATTGTCTGGCTTCGGAATAAAATTACTTGAAATTGATGCCGTGCCCTGACGACCGGCGATTTCATACTTAAAATTTATTTTTAGTCCACGACTGCATAGATTTTTAAGACCAACTTGGTGTTACAAATTGTAACTTACAACGCTAACTTACAACGATAGAATAGTATAGTTCTGTGCTTACAACAAACGGATTTTATTAAGTACAAGACATACTGCATTTCCTCTTATCGTGTGCTGATTGATAACAATATTCAGTCAAATTGCGACATTAGATGTTAATGTATATATTGCGAGAGAATGTAGAGAGGGATACATATATAATATGTATGTTGCTTTGTTGAATAAATATTACTAACAATGTAAACGTGTATATTTCGATTCATGATTCATACAACAAAATTATTTTGTAGTTGTCAGTCATAAATCTCGGGAGGTCACATCCGACTTAAATTGGAGGTTGCCCAATGTGCCATGTGTCTCAAAAGAAAGAATAATATGTCGCATGAAAATAAAAATGTTGTATTCCTTTTAGCTAAAAATTCATGTATATGCACTTCAAAAGTACAGCAGAATTTACTTTGTTCGATTCGAAAAGTCTCATAATAAAAGCTTCATAAGCCTAAACCCTGCCCGGTGTTCGTGGGAGTCGGGTTTATTAAATTTTCCTGAACCTTCCATCTCATCGCCAACTCAACAGAACAACATTGCTCCTCGGTCCAGAGTTTTATCGAAACGGCTCAATTTCAATTTTCTTTGTCCCGACAAAAGTTATCGTTTTTTAACATTTTACACAAGTTTATACGGTCCAGGGCAGCTTTCCTTTCTGTTTACAGTGGGTACACAAATCTTTTCTTGGAGACGCAGTAATTTGCAAGTGGTTTTTCCTGGTGTCAAGTGTTCGATCCAATTTTAGGTGACAATTTCATTAATAATTATTACACATAATGTCACCGCCTCGCCAACAGAGGATTTCGAGAAAGGGTTGGAATATGACGTCGTCCAGGGGAGGTTTATCCTCTTTAATTATGTTGGGACTGCCAATTTTGTTCATAAACTTTTGTCCTGTGGAGATGCAAAATGAAGGTGAAACGGCCTGGAATACGGCAGACTATTATAAACGGGAACATTCGTTGGGTAGACCGTATCAAGGTGAAAAGCATTAGTTATATATAACTAACTAATTTAAAGTTAGTTGTGTGTTGAATGAAGGAAATGCAGGCATTGATTGGTCAATTTTATTTGGATTGCAGGAACTGGGTGGCAGATTCCATACTGGGATTTTCATGGAAGTACAATTGTTACAAATCAATATATCAGACTAACGCCAGATTCTAGGTAGAGACAAATGATCAATTCTGCAAAGTGTCGATAAATTATTTCTGATTAATTATTTATTTTTTTTAGATCCATGCAAGGCGCGCTCTGGAACTCCGTGGTAAATAACCACTTAAATTGTGCTGCACATATGCAAATTTTTATGTAATTCTATCATGTATTTTTCAGGGAATTCAAATGAGGAATTGGGAGGTTCAAATGCAGTTTCAAATTCATGGGAAAGGCAAGGACTTGTTTGGCGATGGGATGGTGTTCTGGTACGCCAAAGATAGGATGATACCTGGACCCGTGTTTGGATCGAAGGATTATTTTATGGGGATGGCAATTTTCTTGGATACGTACAGTAATCACAATGGGCCTCATAACCACCAACATCCTTACATTTCAGCGATGGTAAATAAGATAAATGATTCATTTATAATAATGCACTGGATTTTAATAGGTTTTAATGGCAGGTAAATAATGGAAGTCTTCACTATGATCATGATAAGGATGGGACACACACTCAGCTGGGTATGTTCAATTGAATAACATAAATAATTAATCAATGCATAAAACTACAATAATTTGTGTATATTCAATTTCAGCTGGATGTGAAGTAAAAATAAGAAATCTTCAACATGACTCTTGGGTTGCAATTCGTTATGAAAATGATGTCTTGTCAGGTACAACATAACCAATAAGTGCATGTATAGTAGTGCTGAGAACTATCCAATAAATTGTTAATGGCGTTCTAGTTTCTACCGATATCCTGGGCAAGAATGCTTGGGCACCTTGTCTCAGAGTCGAAGGAGTTCAACTTCCCACGGGTAAGGGCAATGGAGAATAAAAAAATAAGTGATTTCAATTGTCAATTTCACTTTTGTTTTTCACAGGCTATCACTTTGGTGTTTCATCTGCCACTGGAGACTTGTACGTAATATCATTATTATTATCTTTTAACATGATCCAGTTGTAATCATTATCTAAATCGCTGCAATAGAACCGACAACCATGACGTCATTGCTATTAAAACTTATGAGCTTGATGCTGGCCCTGGAGTTCAGGTAATAATAATATTAATTAATTTTCCTTAATTATATGTGGAATGAGTACAGTGTTGTATTAATTTCTCCATATTTCAGGGTTCACGAGATCAAATCATTCCAGCAGCAAAGCTTTTCGAACAACCCCGTGAGCGTATTGAAGATAAACCAGCAGGATGGTCTGGCATCAAAATATTCTTTGTGACTCTCTTCGGAATTTTGGGAACGGTTGTTCTCGTCGTCGTTGGAGTCATGGTCTACCAAAATCATCAACAAAACTCCAGAAAACGGTTTTATTAAAAACAACTCAACAGAAGAAAATACCTCCTGCTCAGCTCCAGCTACAAAGTCGCATCAGAATTTTTATAATGACGCCTATTTTATTCACATTGTGCATAAACTTATAGAAACTTGGAGACTCCCCCGTGTGCTGAATAAGCTACCAAGACCAATAATTAATCGTATAGTAATAATCAATTAGTTCTTAAAGTTTTGCAGTAGATGAAATTCTCGTATTCATTATCTTTTGTTGTTGGTCGTTGAGTATTCTTGTCATTCTACAGCCAAAGTTTTGCCAATTATCCCGCTGTTCTTTTAAAATTATTTGGATCTTGATGCCAGAAAAAAATTAAGTACCAGTTCCAACAACCATTACGTTTTTATAAGTTATAGTTATTTCAAGGATTAAGGTATTTTAGGTTATTTAACTATTTAGCGGCTATTTAAAGTTCTCAAGGCTTATTCTAGTGATTTTTTGACTGATTCCTTAAAATATAATAAGTCCCACAAATTGTTTTTGGAATGATTCATTTATGAGTATTGTGTTATCTTTCGTGAGCTGAGTGAATGCCATTCATTCATCGTGCGAATGCGTGCTTTGCAGCATTTCCTATAAAATAAGTAATACTACAAAATATGAGAGTTTATATTGTGATCTGTGTCTTGGAACTGGATTTTGAGTGAGAAATATGTAATAACAATAAAACTTGCTAAACTATGACCTTATTTCAATTTATGGAATTTGCATTGTTTATTTTTTCCTATACTAATTCACCCATAAAGATGTACATACACAATTTTGTAATAAAGAAGCCGTCGACATATAATATTATTTTTTTACTTTAAAAAAACTATTCAGTTCTGTAAGTCAGTTGTTAAAGTTGATAATTATTATTTTTTAAATGAAATAGTTTATTTTTTGGCCTGTCAATAATAATTTCTCTGTTGGCCCTCCTCCTCCTCAGGTAACTTGTTGACATATGAAGTGATACTGAAAGACTATTTACATAAGAGTTTTCAATTTACAAAAAATATATAAAAACCATGAAAAAAGATATTACAGTGAAGATGAAGAAGTTCAATAATTTTAACAATTATGTAGTTAGTTAATAAGTACAAAAAAATACATGGTGTGGCACATTTCATAAAGGTCGCAGTCCATCACATAAAATAAGGCGATTTTTTGGGCAATTGATAAAAGAATGCAGGGATGATTATTAAATTACAGCAGACTATAATCTATTGATGAACCTATAAAATTAATATCCACCAATAATAATAATATGCTAATTATGGGTCGATGTCACAAAAAAACTCTTCTATTTATGAACTCTAAACATTATTTTGCATGAAATATTTTGTTCTTTTGTTTATGATGGTGTCGTTTTGTAACGCTCCTTCGCTTTCTTCGGAGTGCATCCTCCTCCAAGAATGAGTCCCATACGACAGGTCTAGAATATTCTTTTGGTACGAAATGATAACCTTTTCTTCGTTGTAACAACTCTTTTGAGAAATGATGGTGTGGGATGTGGCGTGTTAATCGAGGTAAGAATGGCTTTCCGTTAGTGACCGTAATTCTAGGGACATTTGGTTTAGCAAATGGAATGCGAGGCACATCAACCTAAATGACAAAAATTTTGCAAGATTTAATTTGTGAAATCTAAAATATAAATTAAATTATTTAATTTCCTTACATGACTGAAATGGTGATCATTAACATTCACAGGTTCTGTCCCATCCCCTTCGTCATAATATTCGGGGATGTTATCGGATAATCCACTTGGACCTGTGCCACCCCCAGTGGGCGCTGTCGGTCCTGCTTTCTGGAGTGCATTATGTTTAGATTGTTGCGATGAGGATGGAGATACGCTACGCAGCGTCGATGTCGAAGATGTCGGCATCCTCACAATGATCATTGGTTGTTCTTGTTGCTCTTGTTCCTGTTGGAGTTCCGTGTCATCGGGATAGTCATCGTCATAGTAGTATGTTTCTGGTGTGGTTCTTTGGAGTGGTTTTCGTGTCGTTGTCGTCGTCGTTGTCGTAGCTCTAGTAGTTGTAGTAGCTCTGGTTCTTGGTGGGGTCGGTCTGCTCGTTATTTTAGAACTACTCGTAACTACAGCCGGTGGGGATCGCGTGGATTTGCTGCTGCTGGAAATGGCGACAGAGACGTGGGATTTAGTTTCGCTACCTTTATTGTTATTGGAATTGGAATTAGATCCTCCTCGTCCGCCTCGATCAGATTTAGAACTTGACGTACTTCGTCCATCACGATAGTCGTAAGAGTTTGAATGTGTAATCTTTCCCCGAGAGTAAGACGACCCTTGAGGTTGGTACAAGTTCTTATTATTGACAGGACTGATGCGTTGTTGTTGCTGCTGTTGTGGTGGTAGAGCATAACTTTTGAGTTCTTGAGCCTGTGACCCTGTCGTGCTGGAGGAAATATCGTAGTCCTCGTCGTCATAATATTCGTCCGCATATTGTTCCTCATACTCTTGTTCCGGTTTGGGTGGGGCCCTAAGATGCTGGGTGGTGCTTCTGATCGTGGTTGTCGTCGGAGATGGGGGAGACCTTGGTCTCGCTGTGGAGGAGGATGAGACCGCGTAAACGATGGTTTTTGGACCGGATGGGATTTTCCTCCCCGTACTTTCACTTCCTTGTTGCTCGCTTTCACTCTCGCTCACCGTGTAACTTCCTTCATCTTTCTCCCCGCTGGCTGGATTGTGGTTGAAAATGTAGGACTGCTGAGATTGCGAGTTGTATCCGGAAGCTACGTGCGAGTGTGGCGTTTTCAGATAGTAATTGAAAGACGAGAAGCCCTTGGTGTTTGGATTTGAGGAGGATGGCGATGATTTCGTGGAAGATGGGGAAGGTAGAGGGGCAGATATTCGAGGTGGAGTCGTGGTCGTTCTTGGTGCCGCCGTGCTTGTCGAGGGAGGGGTCGTTCGGACAGTGGTCGTTGTTGAAGGGGGAGGTTTGTGGGTGGAAACGGGGTGAATAAAATCATCTTCTTCGACAAGGTCGGGTTCTACGGGAGGTTTCGGTGTGGCCACGTGAGGGACGTAAAGGTCGAGATTTAAATCGTAAAATTGCTCCGCTTTAGAACAGTCGACTGTATAAATTAATTCATGAAAAGTTAGCCTAACATTTTCTTATGTCATTTTATAATTTAATTCAAGTAGAGAAATAGCAATACCTTCGTCTACGCGTTCACAGACTCGAGTTTCTTGATAAAATTAAATACAATTATTTCAATGATTTATATGCAAATGCATCTCATTTTTACTGCATGCAACATACCTTGGTCGAAGACGGTCCCATTGAGACAAAGGAATTTTATGTCCTGGACTTCATCTGGAATAAGGTAAAAAAACCTTTGTAGAATGAAGCAAGGTAAAAATACGATCACTTTTGATCATAATTTGTACATAACTTGCTGTACCAACAAAACAATATTTCATAAAATATGAGCCAATTCAAAAATCCAAATATAGATCATGCAAAAATTTGTAATCTATAATAATTTCGTAGCGTTTTAAAATTCACTGACAAAGTTTCCAGGGACGTCAAACTTCCCCATAGTTTGCAATCCCAATTCACGATTAACTGACATCGTTTCTATGGGGTGGTGCCCCATAGAAACACTTTATCATTCTATAGAATGATAAAGTGTCAAATAATATTGATCCCAATTTAATGATGAAAAGTTACATGAAATTTGTTGGGTGGTGGAACCCAATAGATAAATTGTTCGTTTAATCTAATTCGATCCGACTAAATTGAAAAAAATGGACATAGGCAGTTCAGATGATGATGATGTCATCACTGATGCCACCACATTGGACAGGTTACCCTTGGAGGTATCACAACTCATAGAATAATCACTTTATTTACGATCTACAAGTCTGGGTAAAACTGTGCAGGTGTTGGAACCCATCGTGAAGCTGTTGCCGTACAAGGACATGGTCAAGGCCACAGAAGTTTCGATCCGATGGCATCAAATCGTGGACGAACTTTTGGGAAGAAAGTTATTCGTTGGAAGGGCGTGTCAGTTTACACCGGATGATGAGGAACGTTATCGCCATAATTATGTACCAATCACAAATATGGGGAAATTGGGAGTCAACACTTGTTATGTTGGCGAAGTCGTGGATAACACGAAATCCATGAGCAGTTTGGTGTACTACTGGACTAAATTAAAGTAATCTCAAAGAAATATTTGTGTAAAACTATGCTTTAAATTGATAAGTTTCTAATGAGGGTTATGAAATAGGGACACGCTGTTTGGTCCTACGCTTCCAAAATTTAAGTATCCGCACTTGCTGAAGCACATATTCTTTGATGGACCGCTCCTTTCTCGATACTTTGACAGTATTGTTCGCCCCCTGCAAAACCTGGAAAGATTAGATATTCACTGGAGTGCATTGTGTTCCTTAAATCCAGCCAACATGGACTTTCCCCCTTTTAACAGGCTGGAAACGCTAAATATTTGGGTAATAATTATAGTAACACAGACTATAGCAGATACAAATTACAGATTTTTTGAAAATTTACAGGGTCACAAATTAACGCAAGGCCTCTTCACACAATTTTACAGCAGTTCTCAAATTGTCGGAAATCTTCTGGTCCTTTTAGCCCACAATCAGTTCCCCTCCTTGCACAATCTCGCTATGGAGTATCCTTTCGACCTTAAAGAAAATGCCTCCAAAGTGACCGACTCCCTGCTCGAATTTCTCATAAAACATCAAAAAACCATCACCAAATTCAAGCTCTGTGTCAACCTCTTCATAACTGAGGAACCCAACGACTGGGATTCTGCCGAAGATCGGAACTGGGTCTCGAAAGCGAAAGCTGCCTCGAAACTTATCAAACTCAAACAAATGGACTTAAATATTTGCAGCATTTACAAAGTTCGCCTCGCCAAAATTTGGAACGCTTTCGTAGAAGCGCAAAACAGTCTTGATTCCGTGAGCGTGATGACTTTTCGCCTCGAACAGAACGTTATGCGCCGAATTTGTGAACAGAATTTCAAAACGCTTGTCTCCATCGGACTGACAAGGCTCGTCCTGAGTGAAGAGGGTCGATCTCTGCCCATCGATTGTACCGTCTTTGAGACCTGTTCTCTCCTAAAGAGCCTTTTTCTCGAAGGGATTCCAGCCAACACGGTTGATCCAGGAATCATAAACGTGTTCAAGTTACCCAAAACTTTGGAGAAAGTTGAGCTTGGCTCGTTGCCCATGTACATTCAAGATTCACGTCGTCTCCTGACAGAATTTCCAAACATGAGAAACGTATTTTTGGGAGACATCGGACACCAGGGGGATTTTGGAGTCGAGGTCGAAACCATTAAACAAGTCATCAGGGACAGAAAGATCACGTTCATAACGTTGTATGGCTGCGTAAACGGGGCGATACCCGAAGACGGGATACCAAACGGAAATCCGGATAACGAAGTCAGAATAAATGTGCGATATTACGGAATGTTGGAGCTCAAACTGAACCCGCAAGGATATTATGAACCAATTCCGAGGGAACCTTTGCCAGATATGTTTGTAGATGATTTGGACTGATCAAAATGCTTGTATAAATTTTGGCGTATTTTCAAAAACAAATAAACACTTTTGCAATTATTACACCCACTCCAAGCTCCTGTCATCAAATATGTAGCATTATAATTGATCGCCACATCTGAACCTAATTCATTTTCCCATAAAATTATATATTTGCATTCAAATTCTAAACTCTGTCCATTTTACATACACATCACTCAGAAAAATGGGTGTGCTGTATACAATAATCATAAAAATAAAATAATTGCTCTATTACGAATTGACTTTGATTGTCTGAACGCTTGACATTTTTAACATTCGTGAAAACAGTGCCATACAATTTTTGCATGATTGATGATTCGACACAGTTAGGAAAATAAGAGTGGCATTTTTGCAATAATTTGGCCCTTGTTCCACAAAATTTATCTGTGCATACATACATACACACTTCTAAAAATACATGGAGACGCCCTGCCTCTTGAAATTGGCGAATAATAGTAAAAATTCGATGTAAAAGCCTTATCTCGTCTAACAAACTTACTACAATTGTCTGTCTCCAACTGCAAGTTTTCCATTTTAACAAACGAATTAGAAAGAAAATCCTAATTATGTCATTATTGTGTCTATTTCAGAATTTCATGGATGGACAGATATGACACGACTATTGCATTTCGAGATTACCATCATTTTTCTCACCCTTGTGTCTCTACTACACTGCAATAATAAAAGTTTGGTTACTCCACAAATCGAGAATTTGTATCGTGCTCAATACATCATCGATTTACAATTCAATTCAAGGATGCCATCGTCGTATGTAAAAAGTGTAACTGCACTTCAACGGAATTGCATAACAAAAGACCTTACAAATAAGCCGCAGTACAGTAGTTACAAATTTAACGTTACGCGTAGACAGCAAAAAGCCTGAACTAATAATATGCAAGTTTATCCAAATACTTGCATAAAAAGTAACGCAGTTCACTTGGTCTGCAGATCAAGGTGAGGCGACGAGAGATACACAGGTGGTAACTAAATGGAAACCAAAATGTTGAGGACAAATGTCACAGATTTTGACTCAACTTGTATAATTTCTCTTAAAATCCAACCCTTTTCAAGAAGAAATTCCTACTAAATCTTGATATGTAAGTATCTCTGGATTCATCCCTGTAATAAATTTTATGGGTTTTATGAAATGTGGTGGTTTGATTAGTTTACAATAAAGGGTCGCGTTTATTGCTGTTATTAATCTATCATTTTAAAGTGACATTTGCTTGGCATGAAGTATATGCTTTGCTGACAAGAGAAGAATGGTCCCTGTTGTGGGGTTACTTGTTATTTGGAATAAAAAATCAGGGATGCCATTTGCACCGTACTCATGCATATGAATGTGTTGAAATAAAAAGCCGTTGGACAACTGACACACAGCATGAGTCCCTTGTTTCTGACTTTATTTGATTGACCGATTGATAGCTGAGGGCTCATTAAGTTTGGCAATGCAATGGTCAAAACATGGTAAAAATAATGACCGGTACGTGGATCAAATTTTGGTAAAATGTAATCAAAGAGGTGCAAATTTGTCCGAGATTTTAAAAAAATCAGAAAAAATTTGATACTAAAGAATTTTCGACACTAAAGAATTTGACGTAAATGCTATTTCTTCAGGCAATTGATTCTTTTCAAGATGCCTTCAATTCAAAATCCTACATAATACGCTTTGCATATTTTCGAGTCCAAATTTAAGGGTGGGGTAAGGACCCTGATTTTGTATTACCCCATTTATTGTGACAACTCGCTGCTATCACTGCTTTTGTCTGTTACCCTCCTGTCCGTCTTATCTATTCATTTTATTGTTATAAATTTCAAACTACTACAAAGGCCAGCCTCTGGTGCAATTATTGTTCTGAAATAATACCACAAGTTGACAGTGAAATAAAGGCCAAATACATACATAACCAAACCATTCCGTGTAGTGCTTCTGTCTCGTGCAGCAGCACGTGATAAATTCTCACTTCATCATCAATAATGAACCTAATCTGCGAATAAATCAATAAACAACTGTGTACCACACATGGATTGACCAGTCACCAAACCAATTCCATCTGCATACATACATAAATATACTTCGCATACATTACATTGACTCGGTAAATCGTACTAATCGCACATGCCAAAAAATCACCGATCAATCTTTAGGATTACATTCATTCATCCCATTTCATGCATGGATATGCCCCACTTTTAAGTACGTTTTGACTCGTGTACAATAAAATTCTGATGCGTGACAATTTATCACACTTTGTAAAAAAAATCGAGTCTTACATTGTCAGACGGGGTGGGGTCGTGGGGTTGGTGAGGTCAAAAAACGTATATTATGTCTGCACAACGGAATAAATAACTCATCCGAGAAAAATGAGCATGCACACGACGGAACTTATGTACGTACATATAACCTGACACTTTTATAATGGTGCATGAATATTATTATACAAATCAGTGTGAGCAATAAATCAATGAAATATTATATTGATCAATATATTGCGGTGCATCGAAGTCAACCGGATGGATTTGATTTGAATTTCGGCCCGCCTCCAATCTTAATCAAATGGGCACGTGATTTTGGCGCGAAGAAATTCTGTCCGGTTGACTTCGATCCAATAATAATAGTCACGTCAGAATTTCATTTCAGGGCTTTATCACACCTCGTAAATCCATCAGATACTTATAATACTTATGAAATGAAATCGAAACTCGATATTTATTCAGGGTCATCCTAGTGTATCTTTGTTTTTACTTATTTAGTTTGTAGTTCTGCCAGTTATTACATAATAAAAATTTGATAATCCAATCCACCTGCAATAAATTTAAGATAAGTTAAATAACTCACTTGGTCTTGGTGTTGTACACACGTGGAACATCTGACACCTTTTAAAATAATTAATGAAGATTAATTTCAAACTAAAAAATAATAATATTTGTATTATTAATTCCAAGAAACCTTACCCCGTTTGAACATCAGCATAATAGCCCCCAATAACTTTCCCCTCACAGGAAAAACTCGTCATAGGCAAATGATCGTAGTCTATGAACTGAAAAACAAATCCAGCAATTAATCAAGAGTGTAAAACAATGATAAAAATCAATTAATCTCAACATTCAATTCATCATTGGCATGCATTATTTGTCGTCGCATTAACTAATTATTTATCAGGGATGGCAAAGTAATTAGCAATCATGCGTAGAATAAGATTCTTGGAAAAGGATCATAAATTATCTTTTCAAATTCTTAATTGATCACGGCAGACAGACAGGGAGCAATAATGGTCGAGTTGACACACGCAGTTAGCAACAACCTTACCCTCCATTATGTCAACTTATCTATTTATTTATTACAGCCCACGCATTTTTAGTCAGTCTTATTGAATTTGACCATTTATTATCTGTATTCATGCATAGAAACAACAACAATTGTGCATGGAATAAATGGGTGTGTGTGGGATAAAGAAGTTTGAACGTCAGTCAGCGACATTGTTGAACTAATTAAAGTGTCAATACTTCCACCAGGTTAACTTCATTCAAGAGTTTGCTAAAGATTGAATGCTGCCAACTAATTTCTGTCAACTTTGCCACTTATTGGACTCTATGCAGTGATTTATGAATTGAATTAGAATATGAATTTAGAAAATCATAAATTTTCCCGTCTCATTGAATCATTTGCGAAACGAAGCGATACCAATTATCTCATTTCACTGTCAATTGTCAATCAGGTTGGATAATAGATTAATAAACGTATTGTTGGCTGGCTTTGTGGATAAAAAAATTGCCGATTTCGATTCCTGGTAAATGTGTATGTACACAGCCGCTGTGATTAATGATTAACATGCATAATCTCATCTAATCAATCTGTAACGGGGTACAATAAACAATTCCCTATTTTAATTTATTCCTGGTACAACTTCTAGATATTCAAATCGGAAGTGTTTGCGTAATCATATCCGTTAAAAATTGTATTGATTAGTATTCAGTAAAAGTTGCTCCAATTTTTTACGCACTCGATCGTGTCAATATCACACATTCGCAATAACAACACGGAATTGTCATTTGTCAAGGATCAGGATCAAGGTCTTTATTAATATTAATAAATCGATGATGATATGTTTGAGTAGCTAAATTATTATGTAGACTGTTAACTTGGAACAATTTGTAGCCACTTGTCAACAACTAATGGAACAAAATTATTTGTAATTTCTAATTGTACACTTCAACTTGCCAATCATATTATGCATTAATTCTTGAAGTCCTTGCATGAATACAAAATTTTTCATGGAAATTGTGACGTGGACACGATAGTTGATAAAACTCTTTGCGTGGACATGCAGAAAATCAATCAGTTTGCTGGTCGATATTAAAAATTACACTTAAATTGCACCTACAAACTTAATTGCTACCGTTTAATATATTTTAATTGATTTTGACTCGACTGATTGATAACAACTGGTAAACATGCAAACTTTTTTTGTACAGACAGATTTAGCAACACCAACCAACAATTAATGCACTACTTCTCTCCAATAGGAAGTGACAGTCAGTGAGTGAGTATGAAAATTAATCGAAATTAACCCTATAATAAATAAATAATTGTTCCATGTCTATTCAGACTTAATTAATTCAAGAGACTCGCACACAGAAATTCCGTTTTGATTGAAGTATCAATGTCGTAAGGTAGGTATCCTACCTACCAAGTATCGGTTTCATATTTACATGAATCGCCTCCAGCTAAGCCACACTGATTATTATGCGGTGGGGTGATGATAAAAGGCAAAATTGATTATCAACAGAGGAAGAAAAAATGCATTCTGGATCAAGTCCAACGTTCAATATTTGAGCAACATGGTCAACCTTTTGAATACAAAACGAGTTGATCATGCATGATGCAAGTGAAAATTATATTCTGCAGTGTCCAGTACATAATTAGTTCATTTTAATTCCAGTCAGCATCCGCAGTCTGCCGTGTAAGTAATATAACGCTTAAAAAATGTAATAATTATTGGCTCCAAGCTCGTAATAATTTCTAATAATTTGCAACCCTGTAATTTAGAAATTCGAGTACAAATAAGTATGAAATTATGCTTTTGGTAGGAAAATGGAAGATGCGATCTTACCCCTGCGGGAGGGAGTGGAGGTGGTGGTTGTCCTTGTACAAGGAGTGGCGACGATGAGAAGAAAACAGTTAAAAATATGCCTAACAAAATTACATTATTTAGACAAGATGCGATGGTTTTCTTATTTGGCAATTTTTTTTGCGTCGACATGTTTAACAACGTTTTTTGTCCAGTGCACCTCCTAAAATTGGCAAAGGTGCAGCCACATTTTCGCGTCATCTCGGTGAAGGCATAATTTATCGAGTTTTGGAAAAAATACTCCCACTTTGCTGGAGATCTTTTTTCACTAATATCAGATTCACTGCAACTATTTTCTTCTTGATTAATACAGTTTTTCACTAGGTCTTCTTGATCACGGTGCGATAAATTTTCTCCATCTGACAATGATCCCATAAAGTTTTTACAAGTATCCCCTTGCACTTCGGAGAGTTCTTCTTTCTTCTGTAAAATTCTGCGACCCCTTTTCTTCTTTATTTTGTGGTGGTGATGAGGGTGGTACATTTTCTGTAAAAATTAAAATAGCCTCATAAATTGCATGTTTGCACATAATAGGACCAAAATTATTGTTCAACATTATGTGAAATCTTTATTACAAAGGTGCAATTTTTTGAACCAAATCGACCATAAAACTGTCCTTAAATGGTGATCAATTAAGAAACGATGGTAAAAGTCAAAGTTGTAAAAATGTAGTGCAAATCTTCTCGCATTACACGATTATGTATCAAATTTGTAACAATGCATTCCTAATAGTGCACCGACGGATGGTTTTAAGCTGCTTAATTCAATTTTATGATTACATTTTGCTCACGTCCACCTAATAACTAACTCTACATTACTCGATATAATTAAAGTATTGACATAATGATACAATCTTGGCGGACAGGTGGGTTGTTTTCATACCACAATTTACCAATTATGACAACAAGTTTAACAACATCATGACCTTTTCATTCGAGAGGAGATTTTACAATTTATGAGGTTGTACATGCACATTATTATAATGTCATTATTTATATCGTACTATATTGGAAATTGACCATTTTAAAATTAATATTCAATACAGGATTGTCATAATGGATAATATGTTTCATTGTTTAGATTGATGCGCAAATTAAATTACTAAATTACTCAAGTTTTTTGATACATACTTGAATCCTTTTTTCCAATTATTATAAGTGTATAAACTTATTAGAACCAAACCATGGTCCCATACTTAATAGTCACGGTCATCTGGCAGAGATTGACTACATAATAATTACTTAATTAATCTGAAGCAATACTACATAATGTTAGCATAAGTAGTTGAGTTGAAGATGTCTGTATGCAAGTGGACATTGATACTCGGCTAGTCATTAATGTGGCACATGTGTTGAATTGCAAATTATTTATTATCTCGAATCTGCCCCAATCTACAATGGACAACTTGTTTAATAAGATTGTGGATCAAAGATTCTCAACAATTTGTAATTAGTTCGACTTTCTACAACTTATTGATCGATTAGTTGTAATTGTGGCACTGCAAGAATGTCACATTTTAGTGGTCTTCTCTCATCTTTAATTACTTGCAAAAAAAGAAGAAGAAACATTACTGATTGACTCATTTATTTAAAAAATCTTATGCATATTTAAGTAGTGTCACCAGATCTCGATTATTCGCCCATATACATAAATAACAGGTAAAATTAGGCAACTTCTGCCGATCATCTTCAAAATTAGAGCAGTCAGTTCATCAAGGTTTTTTCTCATAAAATATTTATTAGCCACATTTACGTATCATTATACAATATCAGTATCCCATTCATTCCTTGATTGTTGGAAGAATCATCTTTTAGTTGATGTAAGTACCTGCATCCAACTTTCTGGCGGATAAAATGTATATAATTTTTAATTCCTTCTGCCAGGTCAGACAGTTGTACATACTTTTAAACTACTTTGATTCATCTCTTGCCAAATATCTCTATGGTGGTGCAAAATATCTCTATTAATAAAATTAAGGGGAACGGGATCAACAGCAAATTAGTCGGTTTAATAATATATTTGGGCATCATTAGGAAAAAAGTGCACCTCGAACAACCAGATCAACATTTAAAATGGAAGTAAGACAATCACAATTTTACGGTCTGCGTTTAACATTTGGCTTACAACTTATGTGTGGCACTCGGGATTGACTCGTATTGTATTTGAATAATACACTTGGCTTGGAATCGTATATTTATATTCCTATGTAGCCATAAATATATGCTCAAATTACTCCAAGCTTATGCAGCTACAGCCATAATTTAAGATTAAGAGGAGAGTAAAATTGAAAAATATATATCACTCGAATTTGTGGTGGTGTGGATCGCTGCCAAATAAAATATGTTAAACTTGTACATATTTATTGACGGGAAAATATTTATTTCTGTGCCAATTTCGTTGGCAAATCATCCAATTAGACATTTGATACAGTTTCCTGATCTCTGACTTCAAAAGTTCTGGTCAGCCAATAATTCCAGCCTAATTTCCATCACGATGATCCATTTTGAAAAGATATATTGCCAATTTAGACGAAGCATAATGCAACACAACGCAATAGTGATCCTCTTTCTGATAGCAGAGCAGAGTGTAATTTGTATTCTAATTTATTAACAAGAAGAAACCAGCTGCAACTCTATTTATGCCATTCAATTCGACCAACCATGCTGCGTTCTTCTCGTCATTATATTATTTAACAAAGCAATCAACAATCAATTCTCGTAACAACAACGAACCAACTTATTCCTCCAACATAGCTTATGTATGAACGCAGAGGAAGGAGGCAAGATGAGATGGATGGATCGCATCATCATCACAATAATAAAAGACAAAGGTGTATTTCACACCATGTCCGAGTTTATGAGAAGATATTACTGCCTTCTTTTAGTTAGTGGTACGCATAAATAATGTGCTATTATTATTTTGCTATTCGTCAGAGTAACTTGATCACAATCTGCAAATGATGTTGTGCAGGGCATCAGCCTATCCCAAATTCCCTATCGATAATTTCGCGATTGCCCAATCCTACCAAGCAACCAACAGTTCCTTGTCTGTTATTCTATGAAATGAATCATGATTACAGATATTTATTTAGTAGCGGCGAAGAAGAAGAAGAATGAGTCATGATGATAAGGTGTTATACATTTGCTTTTAATAATCAAGATACTAATTTTTCTGTATGTCGCAGGACAACGACGACAGGAAGTATGTACACATGTCCACTTATTAGTAATTTAGCAATATTCTTTACGAAGAAGATGGTAATTGTTGCCAAATTTTGACAATTTTAGTCCTAATTTTACCTACCCTCTCAGAAAATCCACGTCTTAACCTAAATCACGACTTTACATATAAGGACGCACAAAAGTAAATAACGTCCCCGACTAAACCATCCGTCTGAAAAGATAAGTGCCTGTCTGTCCAAAAAAAACTTTCAAAACAAAGCCTCCTCTTTCCTAATGTGTCATCTCATGTGTCATCACCCAAAGTTCCCAAAGGTAATCGATTCCAAAGTCACGACTAGTTTATCACACAAAATTACTATTATGGGACCTAAAAACAAATACATACAGAGAAAAAGAGACACTTGAATTGTTTAGACAAAATAATACTACACGTTGACAATAATCACTCTCTGTTTCATTTTGGATAATGGTGCAAAGTCACGACACATGATTATCATGTGTGTACCTAAGCATGTAGCATATTTATGTGCATACCTTATGTACAGCTCGCTGCAAGTGATTGTCATGTGTTTAAAAGTTTTGTCATTAATTACTTTTTATCGTCTCTCCTATTTGGGATGGATTATGCTCTCATCATCTCCTCCACCGCCGCCTCTTCTTCTTCCCTTCGTTCCTCGAATTAATGACATACGCAACTTTTAATATGACCATGTACACACACACATACACGCAATTTTTATTCATGCTTCAATCGATTCCCATCGACACAATTGAAAAATTCACAAAGTCATTACTCACTCAGGCAGCTAGATACAAGTAAGTTGACGAATTTGGTTTGGTTCTTGTATGTGCCGTAAAAATAACAACACTGCGTTTCAAATCCAATCCAGGAGACTGTACATATTTTCTTATTTCGTCATTCGACAAAATCAGTCATGGGGAGAGATCTCTTTGTATGGTTCAAATTGGTTGCCGATTCGCATCAAGATTTAATTAAACAAATATGTATTGGGTAGAAATTGTCGCTGGGTTTTTTTAGTGGATTTATATTTTAGTCATGGAGTAGGAGAGAATCAGGGTGAGAAAATATTGTTCAACGGCAAATAGATCAACTACAAAATTATTGTCGTATTACAACACTGCTGCATTGCATATAAATAAAGGAATCGTGTTAACCTTTATGTTTTTCTAGCAGCATAATTCATAAAATGGAGTGCCATACATACCTAATAATTTAAATATTCGCATGCCCACGTCCAATAAAAAACAATTGAAATATCTCCCTTGTTGCTATCATTACTCGCAGCCTATAGCTCAAACTGGCAGCAATTTGCATATGTACATACATACATATGCAGCCCCTTCGTCTTCATTTTGCATCTTATCATACCTACATATGTACATATGCTTCATATGATATGCAACAAAAATGAGCAACATTATGCAATTCTTCTCTACACAAATTGAAACATTGGCCGTGTTATGTGAAGCCAAAACTAAAAAGTGCAATGGGACTTGCCACTCGACTCACGACATGGGTAAACATGCCATTAAGAAGACTCGTTCATAATGGAAATGGTCCATTCATATAAGTAATATTCATTGAAAAATTAGGCATTTTTATCCCATAAACAAAACAACAGTTTAGTAGACTGCAATTCACCCAAGCCAAGAATATTTATATCCAAGTACTTCTACGCACGCATGTAACGTCTGGGGACAACAGAGAGGAAGAGATCATCATCAGTAACAGCAGAGATCGCGAACCATATTATGGAAAATCGTGTCGCATAAAACCTATTAAACTGTGCAGAAGAAGTTGTTGGTTGGATTGTTAAACACAAAACTGATGCAATTTTACGTTATCATTAACTTGGAAGAATCAGGAAGAGATTAATCATTGCAACGAATCGAAAATTGTAATAATTTTGTAGGAAAAAAAAGTTTTTTAAGCCTACGGCCGACAAAGTTAATATCGAAGAATAATATTCAATTGAATTTCCAGTTGACAAATAGAAAAAAAGTGGTAGTAAAAGATTTTTTTGCATTATTGTCACCCCGTCAAAATTCCAAACTTTACAATGGAGCTTATACACCGTGTATAAAAATATGTAGGCATTGCGTAACATGGTAATTAGCTCTGAAGAAGGTGCAACATACGAACACGAAGGCATTGTTAATAGACGGCTAATGAGCCACGTCGTAATTAATCATGCAACAGAATGACAGTACAGGTTGCAATTTTTAATGAAGCAAAAGCAGACCTGGACGGCATTCCAACCTTTACGTACAATAATCTTTATC